GACCAAAATAAAAGTTGTAGATCTTGATGAGAGGATCAACTTTATTGTTGACCATATTTCCATTTGAAATCATGTAGTATGTACAAATGCTGTTTAGATTTGTCATATTGTCAAAATCAATTTTAATCTGTTGGAAACAAAGTTATATAGACAAATGACCAAAATAAAAGTTGTAGATCCTGATGAGATGATCAACTTTGTTTTTGACCATATTTCCATTTGAAATCATTTAGTATTTACAAATGTTGTTTAGATTTGTCATATTGTCAAAATCAATTTCAAGCTGTTGGAAACAAAGTTATATAGACAAATGACCAAAATAAAAGTTGTAGATCTTGACCAAAATAAAAGTTGTAGATCTTGATGAGAGGATCAATTTTGTTGTGACCATATTTCCATTTGAAATCATTTAGTAACCGAAAATGTATTATGACTAATAAAATGAATTATTATACACCAGCTATATTTGTTTTACTCACAAATATAAAGACTTGTCTGGAAAAATGGAAAAATAGTCATCGGTGACGGGCCTTAGTTAAATCCCGATAGAGATTAATCTATCTCTATCAAACATTATCTTAGGGCCCGTCACAGATGAGTCATCCGTGACAGGCCTGAATGTCATCTCAATCGGGCATTAGTATGGAGCTCGTCACCGATGAGTCATCTGTGACGGGCCCTACGGCAAAGCCCGATTGAGATGACTCATCACTCTACTATAACTAGGGTTTCTCAGATCGGATCGAAAATTTTTCTAAGTCCCGCTACAGTTTCCCGCCTTCTTAGAACACTAGCGCCGCCGCCAACTCCTACTTCGCCGCCGTCGTCCTCCCTCGCCACCACCGCCACCGAGCCCGGCGCCGCCTCCATCGAGCCCGGCGCCGCCGCCACCACCGTCGTCCTCCCTTGCCAAGCCTGCCGCCGTCGCCACCGACGCTGAGCCCGCGGCCGCCGCCACCGAGCCTCCTCAGCCCTCCATTCGGACTACCGCCGCCTCCTCACCGACGACCCCCACCGAGCCCGCCGCCGCCGCCACCGAGCCTCTACACCGACCGGACCGGTGTCGGCCTTCCTCGTCGTCGCTGCCCGCGTCCTCACCGACGCACGTCGCCGACCCCCACCGAGCCCGACGCCGCCCGCCCGGCGCCGACCTGCCCGACCGGCGTCTCCACCAACGCCGCCGCCGCGAACTCCTCCTTCGCCGAGCCCGCCGCCGCCGCCACCGAGACCACTGCCTCCACCGAGCCCGGCGCCGCCTCCACCGACCGGTGACGCCCTCCACCGAGCCCGGCGCTGCCGCCACCAAGCCCCAGCGGCCATCCTCAGGTGAGTCCTCCATCGCGCCGCCCTCTGCTAACTGTGAATGACATGTCATTGAAATGTGGATGTGGATGATATGTGATTGAACTGTGAGTGAGACATTTCGATGTTGGGATGAAATGTGGTGCATTTATGAATTTTGTGATAGATGATTGTAGTGATTGATTAAATGTGGTTCATTTAACTTTATTTATATGCAATGCGGTTCATGTTGGGATGAAATGTGGTTTATTTATGTTGGAATGAAATGTGGTTTTTTTATGTTGGGATGAAATGTGGTGCATTAATGAAATTATTGTGAAATGTGGTTAATTTTATTACTGTGAGATGTGTAATTTCGTTTATTTATACATGGTGCATTAATGAATTTAGTAAATAGATGAAATGTGGTTCGTTTTATTACTGTGAGATGCGCAATTTAGTTTATTTATATGTTTCATTTATTTTTATAAGTGACATTCAATTCATTGTAATAGATTGTAGCACTCAATTGTGTATTTTTGTTATTTTGAAAAAAAGTAGACGATGTCTCAGCAAGGCGAACCAATATCGACGACAACTAGTGGGTCCTCAAGGGCACGTACTCCTAGGACAGGGAACAAAATCCCTAAGGAACGGTTCCGCATAACAGCGGTGGACGCCGTAGGGTTGCCGACATCTCCAAGGAAAATATTGAGCCGATTTAGGTCTATCTGCGGGGTCATAGGGAGGCAGAAATTCAGTATTCTGCAAGATGACATCAAGCTCGTGCCGGCCGCAGAAAAGGACATTGCTTGGCTAACGTTCAAGGAGAGCTTTGATTATCCTGCGGAGCATGAGGACCATCTCAGGCGGGCTGCTTTCAAGGTTATTGGCAATGCTTGGAAGAACTTCAAGACTAAGCTAGTCGGCGAGTTCGTCTACAACCCGGCGAATCCAGATCCAGGAGAGAAATTTCCTTGGATCACGGAACAGGTCTGGGAGGAATTCCATGCGAAGAAGTCGCCCCCCCAGTCCAGAGCTAGAAGCGAGGCATATCGCTTGCTCCAGACCAGGAACCAACATCCGCACCAGCTTGGCACCGCCGGATATGCCGGTAAGGAAGAGGAATGGCAGCGTGATGATGAAGAAGCGGAGGAATCGTGCACACCGCTCGTGTTTGGCGATATCCCACACCCTCGGGTTAGGAACTGGGCCAGGGCCAGGTACCAGAAGAATGATGATGGCACAATCTTCATGCCAAATGCAGAAGATCAACGAGTATACAAAGCTATAGTAAGTGTCTAGTCAAACTAGATGTTCGCATTGTTTCCCATCGTGCAGTTTATTTAACCCCACTAAATTGTAATGCAGAAGGAGTTGGTTGCCGAGCAACAAGCCTCGCATGAGGCCTGCTCTCAAAGACGCGAGGACGACCTCCTCACGAATGCGTTGGGCAACAAGGAACACCGTGGACGGACACGGGGCGTTGGGTCTTCTGTTCCTTGTAAGTATGGATTTCCAGACTACGCGTGGCAGTACAAGAAGCGGACTTCCAACAAGGCGGAGAAAGATGCACGCCTTGAAGCCAAGATCCGGGCATCGATAAGAGCTGAGCTGACATCTGAATTCGACGAAAAGCTCGAGTCGATGAGGGCCAAGATTAGGCAAGAAATCCGAGAAGAGCAACAGAATCCCCAGGCCGCCGCTGCTGCTGCGCACGAAGAGTTAGAAAGTCCCACCTAAAAACGCAGCAGTTGCGCACCAACTGAGTTGGCGGAAAATCCAACATCGGTCGACAGCGCCGTCAACCACATAACGGTAAAAGTGAACTTACTCAATACATGAAAGACTTAACGAATCCATATGATATATAATATTCTAAAAAAATTGATTAATCTATCGTAAGAACCAACGAGCTACACCCTCACAGTTAGGGTGATGCCGACCTTCACGGTTCCAGCAGCCGAGGGACTTGCGTACAAGCCGACCCCAGAGACAAGAGTGCATGGAGCGCAACTCAGGGCCGACTGTGTAAAAGTTCAAGTCGACTCGGTGAAGCCAGAATATGAGCTGTTCCCTCTGAAGTATCCACCGAACGACGAGGTCCTCTCACTAGGAAATGCCCGTGGTACCTTCATCCAATGGCCCAAGGACCTCATTGAGATTAGGGTTACAACGAGGCCAACCACTGCACCAGGCGGTCGTCCACCAAAGAGACCCGCCTCTGCTCCTTCAGCCCCTCCTGCTCAAGATCGTCATGCACAATCTTACGATGTGCAGTTGCAGTACGACACGGATTTTGGGGAGGACCGAATGGAGGCCGACAGCAAGGCGATTCATGAACCCCCACCGATGAAGAAGAGCAGGAAGGCACACTCTTCTCCTCAGAGAATTACTCTCGATAAACCGAAGCAAAGGGGAGAGGAAGGGGAGGAAAGGTGCAGGCCTCGCTTCTAGCTCCAAGGAAGCTAGATCTGGGCAAGGGCCAGGAAGAGACTAAGGACAAAGAGGTCAAGAAGAAAAACGTCGCTCCACAGGAGTTCCAACTAGGCATGCCATTGGTTGGAGATGACGTGCTTGCCGCAATGGGCACCGCTTGCAAGGACCTTCACTTATACTACATGGAGAAATCTAACGCCAGGAAGCCGAATAAAGCTACCGATATCCTTGGAAAGCACGATAGAAAACCATTCCTTGGTCCAACAAATTATATCGTGGTTGACTTCAAGGATCTTTTCGACCTCTACATGCTCCGAGCGGTGGACACAAGCCTCCTTAAGTGCTACTCCTTGTAAGTATTGTCGCCCAACTCAATCTGGTAATAACAATCGGTTTAACTTGCTTACAAGATCGTTTATCCTGTGTGTAGGTTAAGTTGGCAATGATGTCAGAAGCATGCACCGGAAGTTGCCTTCCTTGATCCACAAGTGGTCACTGTCACAAATCTCCAGAATGACCGTCAAGGAATGGTCAACTACATCTACGACACCTTGTGGTCCCGCCGAGACAAGGAGTACATTATGTGCGCCTATAATCAATAGTAAGTGTGTTAACTAAATATACACAACAGCATGACACATTCCTTGAGTACTTAATTAACTTTCACTATATTAATGCCGCAGTGCCCATTGGATCCTTCTAATCATAACACCTAAGTGGAGTTCATGTCACTACACTACAAGAATCCTGTTAATCCATGATGAAAAATTTCCGTCACGGATCACTGAAAAACCGTCACCAAACAACATCTGTGATGGTTTCAGAAATCATCACGGATTGAGCGTCATGGATTGACCTGTGTGACGGTTTGTCGAAAACCATCACAGATTAACAGAATCGGTGACGGTTTTAAACCGTCACGATGAAGCCCGTGGTCTAGTTAGTCCAGCCAAGCCCATTTCCTGTGATGAAAAATAACCGTCACGGATAGCTGCCACGTAGGATATTTCTCTGTCACAGATTAGCTGCCACGTAGGATATTTTTCCGTCAAGAAATTGAATCACCACGTATGTGCCATGTGTTCGCCAAGGTGGACGCTGATGTGTCATCGATGCCATGTAGGATTTAGCCCACGTGTTTTGTGGCCCAATTCTTTTCCAAGAGCTTTCGGCCCATTTATGACCTAATGGTTTTTTTTTTGTTTTGGGCTGATTTTTTTTAGTGTTTTTTCGGCCTTTTAGTCATCATTCAGCCCAGCTCAAATTGGGCTACAGCTAGATTTTAGCCCAACAAAAATTCAGCTGCTGCTAAATTTAGCAAATACAAATATTTCGTCCATAATTTTAGCAAAATTAATTACTGATCATCAGTTGACATTCTCTCATCATCAGTAACAAAATAGTTATAGATCAGCACATAAATATTATAAAAACACATTACAACCTTCACATCTCATACAACATAATTTTTTAGCATATCTCATACAACATAATTAAAACCTGTTCAAAAGCACATGACAATACCCAACAGCCACCAAAGCATTTTGGCCACTCCATCAAAGTTCGCATATGTTTGAGCCCAGCAACCTGATAGTACAATACCATGTGTTAGATTATTTTTTTATGCGCTAGAGAAACAACAAGAAACAATCTACAGATACGATATTAGTTTTTGAATGATAGGGCTACTTTGCAACACCAATCTGATGTCCCCATAATACATTGCACTAACAAAACTCAATGTCCCCATCACCAACCCACCTCATTTCATTGGCCAAGCAAGCAAGCAACTGATGCTATAGATTGAAGGAGGAAATAAATGTGGTCCTTTTGCAGGACAGAGCAAGAAATCCACAGTTTCTGAAGCAAAGAAACGCAACAAAACAGAACTATCAAAGACCTGTGTTATGTACAATTAATCTTTAAACATCTTAGTTCAGGAATAGCTCTACATATCACACGTACTGACAAAAACCTCTGTACAAGAAACTAAAAATCAAGGCAGTGCACAACTAGTTCAGAGTTGTTCTGAGTTCAGATAATTCACATCCACCAAACTATAGATAGATTCACAAACAACTAAAGTGGTTAGAGATATACACAGACAAATTCTACTGACTAGACCTGCTCATCATGGAAGCAAAACCAAAAATGGCATTTACAGCCATAAAACGACACTGCTAGTTTGGCTCCTTTTGCAGCTTAAGAAAGTTATTAAGTATATACATCAAACAAATCTACTTGGTTCATTTGCAGATTAAGAAAATGAGCAAGGATATACATCACCAAATACTTGTACTTACCAGCCAAAATTATTATCTTTTGCAAATTTACAGCCATAAACAAGGGGTTGATAGCAAGTTCCTAACTCATTTCAGATATAATGAAGTGCATCGACCATGTTGTGAAATTGAAAACTTCAGTGCATTCGTAGAACTGATTTCAATCTGAAAGAAAAAAAAACAAATTCAGTAGTAGATACACGTCTGGGATGCGGAGAACTGTAAAGACGGGAAGACCGCTGCAACTATGACGAGGAAGTGGATGACGACGGCCAGGACAGATGGGAGGCAGGCAGGACGTGCTTCTATTTGCACTAATTCAATCTATTAGAAATAAGAGAAAGAAGGGGGAGGAGGATGGGGGTACCGTGGGATGGATCTGGCGCCATCGCTCGCCTCCTCCTCGCCGCCTAGCGCCGCTGCACCAGACCACCGCCGCTCACCTCCTCCTCACCGCCGCACGCCGTCGAGCCCTCCTCACTGCTGCTGCTGCCAGAGGAGATCTCTCGCGGTCACTGCCAAAGCGGTTGGCGGCCATGAGGATGCCCCCGATGGCGCCGAGCACCCCGCACGCGAGGAGAGCGGCCGCGAAGGCGATCTCCATGACGGGCGCGCCCTGGGCCCTCCCACGGCGCTGCCGACAAGGTCGTCCTCGTCGGAGATGGAGAAGGAGTGGTCCACGTACGCCACGCCTGGTTACCCTCGCCTCCTCCTCTGCCTCTGCCTGTCGGTGCCGGATCCGATCTATGAACTACTCTTCCCCACCTCCTCCTTCCTCGCTCGCAGCCTCGACGGCGCCGCCTCCACCAGCGATACCGCCGGCAGCGGGAGAAGGAGGCCTACCTCCGCGTCGAACAGCGCGTACTCGCCGCCAAACCATCTCCGCCGGAGGTTGAGGAGGAAGAGGATGCAGATTCAGATGGGGACTTGGCGGCGGCTAGGGTTGGGGATTGCTTCGTTTGATTTTGGATCGGCTAGGGTTGGGGAACATGGGTATGAAGCAACAACGGATGCGATTTTACAAGAATAGCCTTGGTGCATGTACTAGCTTCTGATACTATTTGGACAAGATGGACATTTCACGTCAATTTTGGCTTGACCGCGCGCAGTGGCCTGACCGCGATGCAAACCTGGCCGGAAAATTTTGGCGCTTGCCAGTATGTTTATTTTTGGCAAAAAAAAAAACTAAAGATCTTGTGCTACTCGTACTTTTTAATTTTAATTCATGAGAACTTCAAATTTAATTTTAGGCTGATTTTTGTGTTTCAAATGCAAAAATCATAAATAACAAAATTGTAGAACTTATTGAAATCTACAACTATTGTATTGGTCCTTTTTACAAATAAGTTCATTTGAACAATTCCAATTTTGAATTTTCAAAATTTGACAACTTCGAACAAAAATTGGGGTAAATAAATGATTTCAAATAGAAAAGTCACCACAACCAAAGATGTAGAACTCATCAAGATGCAAAATTTTTATTTTGGTCATTTCTCCATCTGACTCTATTTGTACAATTTGAATTTTGAAATTCAAAGTTTGAGAACTTCAAATAGAATTTTTTATTAGTGAATGACTTCAACTGAAAAACTCATCAACAACAAAGTTGTATAATCCATCTAGATCTACAATTTTTATTTTGGTCATTTATTCATCCGGCAAAGTGATTTTAACATTGTTAATAAATTTTACATATCTCCAATATGGTTTCATAAATTATAAGAGAGATGTGTACATTTTGTGAACAATGTTACTATCACTTTGTCGGATGAAGAAATGACCAAAATAAAAGTTATAGATATTAATGAGTTATACAACTTTGTTGTTAATGATTTTTTCAGTTGAAATCATTTACTATTTGAAAATGTTGTTTGAAGTTGTCATAATTTGAAATTTAATTTGAAATTCAAATTCAAATTATTGAAACAAAGTCATATAGCAAAATGTCCAAACCAAAAGTTGTACATCTTGACAAGTTATATAATTTTGTTGTTGACAATGTTTTCATTTGAAATCATTTACTACCCGAAAAATTATTGAATTGAGAGGAGGAATGTAAAATAGACTTCTCAGCGAGAGAGGAGCAGAAGGGGCCGGCGGCCCGAAGAGAGTGGAGGAGAGAGAGGCTGCGGGCTGAGGGAGGGAGAGAGTAATACTTGGGCCGAAAAAGGCCCAAGTACAGAGAGAGGAATTTTAATTCGTTTTTCATTTATTTTAATAGGTTAAATAAACTTTATGGTATTAAAATTAGTTATTGCGCTCCGAAAATTTATGGAAAATTTCAGAAAAAAATTTAGACCACGTAGAATATTAAAAAAAATTGCGGCAATGATTTTTAAAGAAAAATTTTAGTTTCCTCGTTAATTCACTTGATTAAATTGTTTAAACCTTTAATATATTTTTTCTAGTAATGCAATATATAAATCTATGACGTTTGCTTCAACTATAATAAATTATAGAATCCTACCGTAACACACCAGACAACTAGCGCAGTGGTAGGATGGGTTATCTTCAACAAGAGGTCATGGGTAATTTACCAATTCGAGTTCTCTTTTCATTTTTGAAACGCCAACTCTCGAGTGACATTGGGACAAATAAAAATATTTAAGTGCACATTGGGACATCTAGAACAAGTGGTTCAAATGGTAAGACACGTTCCTACCTTCCAGCTAAGTTGTGGGTCCAAATCCCACATGCTGCAGATTTTACCCATGCGCACCATATTTTTTTAGTTTGCCATATTATGCATCATATACATGTAACAAATTAACAAAATTATTTTGTTCAAATTTAACAAATCGTATTTTGGGTTTGATTCTTCTTGCAATCACATTTTTTATTTTTCTTTGCGCTAAATATGTTTTATTTTTTATTGCTTTGGGCTAACTAGAGTATGACGAATTTAAAATCATACATTGTGACAGTCTTGATAAAACTGTCACAAGTTAGCGGGCCGTGAATATCCACTGGGCTGATCCGTGACGAAAAACAAAAAATCGTCACGATTACGTTTGTCAGTGACGATCTGTAAATCCGTCACCGAGAATCCGTCATGGATTAACAAGTTTCTTGTAGTGCTACCTGAACTCCAGAATTGATAAGAACGCATATGATTGGACCCCAATTCAACTAGCGATAGATGAAGCGTGGGCCCAATACGTGCAAAGAGGTGGCCTCAGGAAGACAGGACATGACACCCTCATCCACAAAAAAGACTTCCCGGTGAAGCAACAAATAGGTGACCAGTGCGGATTCCATGTGTGCCACAACATGCGCCTTCTGTATAGAGAAAAGGTGAGACTTTGGCTGAGTTTGAGGTTGGTGGTCTCAATTGTGATAGACTAACTACATTTTAGTACTTATATATGATCGATCAACTAATCTGGAATTATGACAATGTAGGGCACAATAACCAAGTCTCTGCCTACCAGCTTTGAGGAGGTTCGCGAGGAGATAGCCAGCTTCATCCTCCGCGAAATAATTAACCCCAAAGGAATGTTTAGGGTTAAACTAAAAAGATGAACAATGTTGAACTTTTATGTTTAGGCAATGATGAACACTTATTATGCAACTGTGATGATGTAACTGTGATGTTTATATTTATGTATATATTTCATATGTTTATGTTAAGACTTGCTAAATAAATATTTGATCCAATTAACTCGGTTTTGTAGGTGAAATATGATAAATATTTAAATGGATGTGAAATATGTGAATGGATGTGAAATATGAGATGGCTGTGAATGTGTGGTTGTGTGAAATATGTTGATGTCTGAGTATGTGAATGCATATGTATATGAATGGGTGATGCTGGGGAGCTGGGGATATTGGATATCTATGTTTGTTTCTGTCATTTTTGCAGCGGGCATGGCTAGCAAAGGCCTGAGGCTAGCCAAAAACCAAAATTTATTTTTTTTGTGGATTATAGTCATCTGTGACGGGCCATAACTAAATGCCCGATTGAGATGAGGTTATCTGTGACGGGCTCTAGTTTAGGCCCAATTGAGGTCAATAGTCATCTGTGACGGGCTCTAGTTTAGGCCCGATTGAGGTCAGTAGTCATCTATGACGGGCTCTATTTTAGGCCCGATTGAGGTCATCAGTCATCTGTGACGGGCTATAGTTTAGGCCCGATTGAGATGAGTATCATCTGTGACGGGCTCTAGTTTAGGCCCGATAAAGGTTAGTAGTCATCTGTGACGGGCGCTAGTTGTGGCCCGATAGAGATAGGTCATCTGTGACGGGCTATAGTTTGACTGGTCGTCTGGGTCAAAGCTATCGGTGACGGGCTTTACTTAGGGCCCGATTGAGATATATTTATTCATAACGGCCGTTTGCCCGATTGAGATAACTCTTCACATCAGTGATTTCTAGCCTGTGACGGACGCTGTGCCCGATTGAGATGGGGCTTACCGCCCGATTGAGATGAGGGTATCCGTTCTAGTGACAATTCTTACCACAAGACCTGGCCTAAGGATATGCAACACCGAGTATATGAATTTGCGGTAGTATGTCATATTCACAAACGGACGCTGGAACATGAAAAAAAGAGTGGGTGTAAAAATCTATTAAAAATCATATTTGCATATTCACAGACTCTATCTTGGGACAGGAACCGTGTAGCGAGTAAACGAACAACATTGGCCTACTCTAGGTCATATCACACAAACTACCTCCATTACCATTGGCCTACTTAATAATATATACTACATTACGAATATTCGACATTATTAACTTTCTACATTACTATTTTTAGTTTTTTACATGTGACGTAAAAAAATAATGTACAAACTAATATATAGCTCAAATTTTCTCTGACATAATTACAAACAAATATTAACTAACACTAATATTTTCTAAATCCTCACCCTACAAATTTTTGCTAATAGAAAACTAATCAACTTACATGTCATTTATTTCTTCTCTCCACTGCCTCCTCTCTTCTCTTGCTCTTACTCTCCTCCTCGGTTCACTCCCTTCTTTCTCTTCCTCTGTGAGGACCATCTCCTCTCCTCTCATTTTATGCATTGAGCGCATTGGATTCGAATGAATAGAGCGGTTACGAGCTGCCGGCATGATGTGACTACAACAGTGAAATGATAAGAGAGTGGCAGAGGTATTCCACCCATTTCCAAAAAGCAAAGGTAGTTGGCTATTAGAACCCGTGCAAAAAGCAAAAACAAAATGAGAGATTGGAAATAAAGGTGTCGGTGGCATCGGTCTCGCGCTCTTTTCCCGTGCCTCAGACAATAATCTTGTGAGTACAAAGCGACACCGCACCTCTCCCACTCTGCGTCGCTCTCGCGCATGCGGAGAGCGAGACTGCCACCGGTCTCGCGCGCTCAAAGCGCGACACCGCGAGCCCACTGCACTCCCACACGCTCTGTCGCTCTCGCGCACGCGGAGAGCGAGACCGCCACCGGTCTCGCGCGCTGAAAGCGCGACATCGCGGGCCCACTGCGCTCCCCTACGCTCTGTCTCTCTCGCGCACGCGGAGAGCGAGACCGCCACCGGTCTCGCGCACCCAAAGCACGACACTGCGGGCCCACTGCGCTCCCCCATGCTTCGTGACTCTCGCGCCTGCGGAGAGCGATACTGTCACCAGTCTCACACGCGCAAAGTGCGATACCGCGTGCCCACACTTCTCCCTAACGTCACGCTCGGTCCCAAAATCGGTGATTTCTCCACGTGGCGCTCTCGCCCTACGAAAGAGCGATACCGCTGCGGTCTCGCTTTTCCCTTGCGCGATACCGCTAGCTCAACTCCACTTTCACGATTTGATAGTGCGATATCGCTACGTTATCGCACTTTCCAGTTGCGAACCTCGCTATCGCTCTTCCAAACAGCGATACCGATGGTATATTTGTCCAAAACCTTCGCAATCCGGTATATTTTTCCAAAATAAATTGATGAATAGTAGATTTTCAAAATTTTTTTTCTGAAACTCATGCCTCTTCCCCTCCCATTCCCATCCATCCCAAGTAGCTCCACTTTTACTAACACAGTCTTCTTTGCTTCGGATTAACTTCTTCCGAAGTTAATGTTTGTCCTGGTAGGCCTTCACAACAAACTTGATCGAGGCACATTGGAGTTGAAAAGGAAGTTACCAGGATGCTAAAACCTTCTACCTCCTTTGTACTTTGTACAAAGACTTTATTTCTAAAGATTCTCAGATAAGATTAATTAGTAGTAGGGAGAAATGACAGCGGTACATCTCATTAATACTTACGAGAGATTATTGGTAGTCGAAATTTTGAAAACATTTATTGAATTTTGCTGTAAACATTAAATATTTTTTATATACATATGTATAACTTCGGTTTGAACACTTTACACAGAGTGAGAATGAAAGCACAAAAGTATTGCAATATACGTGTGATCCAACAAAATTTTGTTGGGTCTATATAATCTATATCAGACCCTAAACATTATTAATGAGAAAAGTTTGTTCGTCGCGGTCTTCTGGAGAGGATGGCTTTCGTTTCAACATGTTAATTTATTAGATTATCTGATTTTTATAACAATACAGACCAATATGATATAACAATCCATAAGCAACTTAATTTCAAATTTCACAAGTTGAATACAAAATAACAAATTTTACTATATATGAATAACAAGCGTTATTCGCAGTCATTTGTTTTCTAATTATGTATGTCAAATTTGAACTTTATATGTCGAGTGATATATTACATGTTTATCAACCTTATTAATTGTTTTTTAAATTTTTCGATGACGTAGGGGACAGGCATAGGGGACATCCTTCGAGAGACACGAAAATTCAGCTATGAACATATCTTGTATTATACTGATCCTATTTTTTACTCAATTGACATTGGAGATGTTTATGAAATAATAGCTTCGAAATGATTGCAATGAGAGTTGAGAATGTAAAACTACAATTATATTTTCAATCAAAGACACGGTATGAAACTTCCTTCCATAATAATTTTGACAGCTTCACGTCCACCAAATATATCGGTTCGTGCTAGCACGTCGTCCGGCCAAGCCACCTTGTCACGCTCTCCTTTCCTTCATCGACTATAATCAAATCATCCACCATATCGTCGACCGACCAACTCTTACACGATCGATCGATCACTGAAGGTGCCGCCGTATCAGCTCTCGACGACGGCGATGCCATCGACGTTCGGATGGTCGGCGTCGGCGTTCGTCGCGGCCGTGCTCGCCCGCCTCATCGGCAAGGGCCTCGCGCTGCTCGCGGAGCTCGACGACGCCGCGGCAGGCCACCTCCGGCGCCTCGAGGCCCTCCTCGCCCCCGTCTGGCGTGTCCTCGACGCCGCCGACGCCGGCGCCATCGACGTTGTCGGCCACCGGCGCCCTCTTCAGGACCTTCTCGACGCCGCGTATGCCGCTGACGACGCCCTCGACGACCTCGTGCTGCTCCAGTCCGACGCGATGGCGAGAGGCGGGGAGCACGGTGTCGACGCCCGCGGGACGCCCGCCGCCGGCGCGGCGAGGAAGCCCAAGCCGTGCAGCCCGCTCAGGTTCCTGCTCTGCTTCAGCCCACCCAGAAATGCCGTTGCTAGCAGCAGCAGCAGCAGCAGCGGCAGCCATGGCAAAAGCTCAAAGGGGAACAAGAGTAATCCTGACCTGCGTGGCTTAGGAGTTGCGTTTGAGATGATGGCACAAGCTGCGTACAGGTGCACGTCGGCGTACGAGCACGTCGTGGCAGGGAAGAACTACGCCACGATGGTTTCAGCACAAGCAGAGGCTGCAACAGCAGCGGAAGCAGCTGATTATGATCAGTTTCAGAATGACATATTTGGGAGGGAAACTGAGGTGGAGCAGATCTTGGAGAAGGTGAGGTTCAGCGACGACCCGCATTACCGGCTAGGGATCGGTGTTCTCCCAATCGTCGGCGTCGAGGGGGTGGGCAAGACGGCGCTCGCGCAGTTCATCTTCCACTACGAGGTCGTCAAGGCCGAGTTCCCCGTGCGGATGTGGGTGCACGTCTCCGGCGAGGTCCAGCTCAAGGACGAACTCGTGGTCCAGATGATCCATGGTGTTGCCGGAGATGCCCATGAAGTCGAAGACATCAGGGAGATCCTTCACGAGGAGTTGACCGGCAAGAGGTTCCTGCTTGTTCTTGACGATGTTAGCGATGTCGGCGACATCCAGTGGAAAGATCTAATGAGGCTTCTGCAACCTGCAGCCAGGAGGAGCATGATCATGGTGACAACTCAATCTGAAATTGCAGCAAATGCGATAGGAACAATGCCTCCATTAATACTGAATCCATTGGAATCTGAGGATTACCAGAAGATGTTCAGACACTTCGCATTTGGCAGCTCTGATGAGTCTGAAGATTACACTCCACTGGGAGACGAATGGGACGACGTTGAAGACGAAGACGAGGAAGAGAAGCAGTCACCGATGGAGAAGGTTGCATTGGAGCTAGCCAAGAAGATGGGCGGCCTACCATTACCAGCGACGGCGATTGCACGGGCTCTGTTTTTCCGCCGGGAAGACAAGGAGCACTGGAAAAACGTGCTGGAAGACAAGCTCTGGGAGCAGCGAGACGTCGCCGGCATCTCGCCGGCGCTGTGGCTGAGCTACCAACACCTCGATCCTCGCCTCAAGCAATGCTTCGCATATTCTGCAGTGTTTCCATGTAGCCATGCCTTCACAAAGGATGAACTGGTTCAGATGTGGGTAGCACAGGGGCTGATATATTCTGAAGATGCCGTGGCGAGGCCTGAGGACATTGGAAGCAAGTTCTTTGAAGATTTGGTTGAAAGATGCTTCTTTCAGCCAATTGGAAGCAGCAGATATGTGGTACACAATTCGATGCGAAAACTAGCACAGGCAGTCTCAACAGATCAGTTCTTCATGGTCACCGAGAGCTCAGGAGACGTGCCACTAGAAGTTCGTCACCTGACCATCATGACAAACAACCTCTCCAAGCTGATAAATGATCTGTCATTGAAGATATCTCATTCATCTGGATCTGACCAACACTTCCTCCAACGGATTCGTACAATTATTTTCTTTGCAGATTTCAGTAATTCAGATGAATTTATCGAATTTCTCGCTGATATTTTCAAGGTAGCAAAAGATGTGAGAGTTCTTGGTGTGACATATGCAAATATAGCATTTTTGCCTGCTGAGATTGGCTTTCTCCGACACCTCCGGTATCTGAATCTGCTCGGGAACAGAATAGCAGATCTTCCTGAGTCAGTTTGTGATCTCCACCTCCTCCAGGTTCTGGATGTGCGCTGCAGTTCTCCTTATCTCCGTGCTCCCAATGGCATCACCAATCTGATTTATCTGAGGCATTTGCATGCAAGTGAGCCTTTTCTTTCTATCATACCAAAAATACAGAATCTCTCACATTTGCAAGAATTGGAGGTGTACAAAGTTAGCAGTATTTCGCGCATCGACGCCTTACAAGGGATGACACAACTCCGAGGTACACTTTGTCTTAAAGATCTCCATCAGGTTGATGTTAGTGAGCTAAGGAAGGGCATCTTGAAGGGTATGCAACATCTGAACATATTAGAGTTGTCATGGAGCAGCTCTGATAGCCAAAGCAGAGAGGCTTCCACAGATGAAGACACACTTGAGTGCTTGCAACCACATGAGAACCTGAAAGATCTGAGAATTACAGGCTACAGAAGCACTAAATGCCCATCATGGATGCTAAAGACTCCTTGTTCTCTATCAAATGCTACTTCAGTTTTCTTAACGGATTGCGTGAACCTGAAGAATCTCCCTCCATTCCATATCATGCCCTGCCTTGAGATTCTCGAGATGAGAAAAATCCATTCTGTCAACAAGGTGAACACTGTTCCTCAACGATCAGATCAGATCATGTTCCCAAAGCTCAAACGCCTTGTTTTCGAAGATGTGTTGAACTGTACTGAATGGTCGACAGGCAGCTCAAAATCAAGAAACACCGTATTTCCCTGCCTCTGTGAAATCCAGATAAGGAACTGCCCAAAGCTGAGAAACTTTCCTGACCTTCCACTTACACTGACAACAATGATCATTGAGAATGTTGGTCTTGAAACACTACCAAGGATACAGGACAGACATTCATTACCACCATCATCATCATCAGATGCGATTGCAACATCGAAAGAAGGCAGATGGACATCAAGGCTCACAACACTACAAATACATCAGTGTCACGGGCTGAAATCTCTAGGATCAAGCCTGCTTCAGCAGCAGCACCTCCTAAGGTCCCTCGAGGTCTTGTCAATAAAGAACTGCGACAACGTTACGTGTGATCTCTCTGACGGTTTTCAGGACCTCACTGCATTGACAGACCTATCACTATACGATTGCCCGAAGCTTCTAGTCGACAAGTTCCACACATCGCTGCGAAAGCTAGAGATCAGCGAATGCTTCATCACACATGGGGCATGGGTGGATGACTACCCCTTCCTGTTCTCAGTGTGGACACTAAAGGTTACCAGTTGTCCTCATGTTAGCACTGATCAGGAAAGCAGCTTCAGCATCGAACCTCTGGATTGGTTGAACTGCCTGTTCAATGTGTGCAGTCTTCACCTGGAGAACACATTGCTTCTGAAACTGAGCATGTTTAACAGGCTTCGCTCTCTTGAGATCCTAGAGATCGACGGGAGTCGCTCATTCTTCGATGATTTGGTAGAGGAATTTGAGTGGCTGGAGAAGCTGCAGGCTCTGAGCATTAGAAACTGCAAGGAATTGAGAATGCTTCCAGCGAATATCTCTACTCTGCCTGTGTTGGAAGAACTCTGCATAGAAAACTGTCCAGCTTTGGAGGCGTTGCCTGCGAGTGGTCTGCCTACTTCGCTGAAGAGATTGTCAATATCGAAATGCAGTCCACGGTTAACTCAACGATGTCTTGATGATGAACCTGATAATCTGAATATTGCAAAGATTGCTGTTGTTTACATTGATGGGCAATGTATTAGTATTCAACAAAAATAATGTTACATTTTTAATTTTCTGCCGTTATCAAAGAGAAGACTTATGGACAACTAAGTGAGCATTACCAGTCTATTTTTTGTTGCATGTTACTAATGCCAGCGTATATGGATGCATGAATATTAAAGTAACTGGATGCTATGATAGTTCATGGATGCACATGTTATATATCTTCTTGCATTTCTAATGTGTCACCAGGATAGGTTAGTTTCAGGTTATTGTTCGCATTCAAACTCTGGATACACGGTCCATATAGTGGCCTATAATGTCTTTTATGCAAGTTACAGCACACAACTTTGGTAGTAGTTTAGTTGGTTTTTTTTTTATAGAAATTAATTCAATACAATGACTGCATGGATCAGGAAATTTTCCGCTTTCGAAAAGTGGCTGTTTGTTGGAAATGGCTAAAATAACACTAGTTAAACTCATCATCGCCATCATTTGCAAAATACTTCACTCAGGTTGTTCCAGTCACAGAAGAGGAGGGCTCAGATTGGTACTCTACAAAGGAAGTGTTTATATTTATATCGCCATATTCTTTTTATCATGAAGTCCAATTTATTAATCGGCGCTTACTGGAGTAGCACATATGACCAAATACGGATATCAAATGTTCTTGGCATATGGAAATCAGGGTGGATTCTTGAATCCAATAAAAACAGCACATCAAGTCAAGAAAATCATCAGCTTTATCGGATAATGTAATCAATAAAAGGTGCATTCATGGGTCCTGGCATAATTACCTTTTGTCATAGCAAAACATTTCCGGCAGGACCAAAATTAAGAAATTTGGAACGGAAATTTCTCACAAACAAAAAAATAATAATAATTGAACAAAAACTGTTCCATATGAAGCCCACCTAATGCATTTCCGGTAGATGGAGAGGCCTCGCGCTGCTGGGGAGGACAGGGTCCCCGGCAAGCCAGTGAGAGGGAGGATGGAGGCCATCGTGCCGTCGCCCAGAGCCGCTGGAGTGAACGGGTCCGCTGCTGGGCGCGGAGCTGCCGGAGGACAGGTGGAGATTGCTTGCGTACAGGCGGATCTTCCGCTGCTCAAGTGCCTCGCTCGGTCGCGATTGGATCGTCAGGGTAGCAGACGGCATGGCGGCATCAGACGGGTGTATACGTTGGAGAGGGAGGAGCCGGGCGACGCAGACGGATCGGAGGCCTAGTCGACCGGCGGCGAGTCTACACAAGGATCGGCCGGCGCGACAGAGAAGGGAAAGAAGACATTTAAGTATTTACGGAGTAACTAGTAGTATTTGTCTTTTAAAGACGAGATGTTTAACTATTTACCACTATGATGGTAAATTCTTAATTATTACTTGTAAAAGTGTTAAATAATTAAACGATTTTGCTATATATTTGTCGATAAATTTTTCCCCAAAAATTTGACAGATGTAATTACAGTACAATCGTAGTGTAATTACACTGTAACTTGCATGTAATTACACTGTTGTAACTATAGTGTAACTAACTTTCAAAAATCTCTCCGTAACATGTTATTTCGGTAAAATGGAGGTCGTGGGAACAAATTCTTTCATATATGTGTGTGCTATGATTTGTTTTCTTCCTCACCAAAACAAATCTTGTAATAGATCTAACGATTCAAAATTATGTGAAACTTACATATAAGTTACACTGTAGTTACATGCAAGTTACAATGTAATTACACTACGATTGTACTATAATTACATCTGTCAAATTTTTGGGGAAAAATTTATCGACAAATGTATAGGCAGTCCCTTAATTAAATATCTTGGAAAGGGGAGTCCAGCCTTGTGTTGCTCAAAGAAAAAAAAACTCGACTAAATAATTTTACTTTTGACTACTCCCTCTATTTTTATGTTTCATATTATAAGTCGTTTGTCTTTTTTTTCTATCTAAACATTAATTAGTGTGACCAAGTTTATAAAATAATTTAGTAATATTTAAAATATCAAATTAGTTTTATTAAATGAAATATTAATTATATTTTGATAATATGTTTGTTTTGGGTTAAAAATACTACTATATTTTTCTATAAACTTGATTAAACTTAAAAATGTTTGAATAGAAAAAAAAGTTAAACGACTTATAATATGAAACGGAGGAATTATTTTTTTTGTGTGTACCATTGTATTTTTACTTAACAGTAGGTATATTTGCATTGTTTTAAACCTGAGGCTTTTTATTGGAGACTTGACCTTACTTGTCTAACCGGGGTTGGCAAGCTCTCATCGGTGGTCTCACCATCACACCCGCTAGGCGGGCACTAGCCCATGTAGCGCTTGTTGTCATCCTCCTCAGGGCGAAGCCAATGGGCCGGAGAGGTCGAAAAACAAAATCAGAGCTTACCACCCTAATTTGATCATGTGTGTACCTCTTTCAGGTCTGATTTTGTACCCTGACAGCCCAAAACTACAACGGAGACATGATTGGACCATTAGCAACGTACTAATTAAGTGACCAGGCCCATAGAGTTTAGTATGAGCAAATATTTTCTGGGACCGCCACGCGAGTGATCGATAGCAAAATCGCATATAGTATGTGTGTGAGCCACGGCCCATGGGTGCTGGTTGCAGCAGCTGCGCAGTGATGGCGGCTGGGCTTGGGCCCGGTCAGAGATGGAGGACGACCCAGGTGGGCCAACCGGAGGAGGCGCACCGGCATGTGGTGGAGGCCGGCGTGGCGGCGGCGGAGGTGAGGAAGTCCGTCGACACGTTAGGCCAAAGGCCATGGTTTCTGTACTTTTCAGGAATATAACTAATGTTAATCACTTGCTTTGCAGCATATGCATAAACTAATCACAAATTAAGCTATAACCAAATCTCGCATGCATGTTGTTGGTATTTTCTTACGATCACAGATAAATTCGTAAGGGTACGAAATACAGTTGTAACACTTCCCCTTAGAGTATTCCAAAGGTACTGAACACAAGGAACGTGTGTGTATAATCAACGATCAAGATTCGATCCAGGACAACAACTTATTAGGATCAATTGGCTAGAAAGATTTCTTATATATTTTAATTTATTTATTTATTTATTAAGATAAAGGTAAAACTGTATTGAATGCTTCGGGCACCGGCCCTCCCCTAGTCTGCCAGGATGAGTCTAGCCTTGAGCTCTATGATATACCCGAACATGGAGGGATATGAAGGACGAACATGGCTGTCACCACCTGCCGCTTACCTTACATTTCATGGAGCACACAACAAACGAAGATAATTTCTAACCTAGACTCCACGCCTAAGTTATTAATTACTAATCTAGCCTTGCCCAGGAGCTTCCTTCTTTATCTAGAGTCCTAGTAATATAGCACTTAGTTACACACTAAGCGACGAACCCACACCGATGAGAATGTATCTCACTTAAATAAATTAATTAAAGAACATAAAGAAACTCACACACTTACTTGAATAAAGGAAGCATCCACCGAGATATAAACAAAAGAAGGAGCTTTCTCTGAAACTCCGTCGGAAGAATGATGACACTCTGGCACTCCTCCGTAAAATTATCAAAGGAACTCCGATATTTTGGGGCACTCTTTTCGGAGTTTCCCTTCACTCTCTACCAAACTAAGATGCTAAATATGAAACTACGAGTGAGTTGTACTCTACCTAAGCTCAAACTTGTGTGTTGAGAAGTGTGGAAGCCTCATCCTATTATAGCTTGACAATGGCAGTTATAAGGCGGTTGTGGAGGTCAGTGCGCCTGTAACTGTTATTGGGAAGTCATCACAGACGTCCACATGTAAGGTGGCGATGAGAGGAGCCATAGGTGGTTCGGCTGACCCCTCGTCCCCACCTCTTGCCACCGCCTTTCACCAGAGGCTGTCAGGTGTGCCCCTAAGTCGGTACATAAGTGTTTGGCCCCATAAAAGTCTATTTAAGCTTACTTGTGGGCCCATCAATCCGTGTGCCTGCACGTGATTTGCTGGAGGTTCATTTTTGTTGCATGTTGGGTGTATTTTCTCCTTAATTGACCTGCATACATATAATTACCTAAACTATTGGAAGTTGGTTAGTAGTAACTCCTCACTAAGTTTTGATAGTATATTTAATGTATTTTATGATGGTTAAAGTCTGCACTTAACGACCGTCAACACATGCAAGTGTGCATGCGCTAATGGTGTGTGATGACGGTGGTGGCAGGCATGCAGGAGGAGGTGGCAGAGGCGTACAACATCATGGTGATCACGTTCCGAGGGCTCAACGCCATCACTAACTTCGACATGAGCCGCTACGACGTCAAGAGCATCCTTGACAGCCCCGTCATCCCCGTTGGCAATGGTGCCAAGTGATGGTGCCAAGGACGCCAAGGTCGCGGTGTCTCGGCGGTCACCGTTGCTGGTTACGACATCGACATCGGTTGCATTCAACAACATTTTTCATATATGCAAAGAAATAATGGTAATTTTCAACACAAAAATCATAAAAATAATCCGTAAGCATGTATGAGTAAAGACTCTTATGAGGTTGCATGCCTAGAAGAAGTAATCCTATTGAACTTAGTGGATAGTAGGTTGCGTTTAGATTTTTTTTTTGTTAATTCGGTCTATTTGGTTAACCAAGGAGACTAACCGAATTGACCGAACAAAATTCGGTCTTTCACTGTCTAGGACCGAATTGATGACCGAATTTCTCGGTCTCGATCTTTTCGGTCTCGGTCTTTTTCTGCCCACCCCTAATCTAGGGTGTCCCTATCTTTCGATGAGAGGATAAGTCGATTGGATGGAGCAACGTTGGCGATCCAACTACAACTATCCAAGGATGTTGTGCCTTAGCAATCGTTACACCAACTCCAGAGGCAATCGTGAATCTTGACAGATGCATGGTCAGTCCAACCATGAGGGTATTTGTTCTTGCAAGCAATTGAGAACTATCAAGAACAAGCAACTCAATTGGCAAATTAAAGATGTAAGATTGAATCAACAAAAATATCACAGGTGGGTTTCCGTAACGAGCAAACCGGTGATCTACACGATCACGGGATTACATGGCAAAGTAGCAAAGCAAAACTTTGATCTAAACAAAACCGGAATTTATGTGTGATAGCTAAGGGTATATAGGGGGGAGGACAAGTTGAGGTCGTCCTCTAACCCTAAGACGCGCCCTTAACGGACTCAACTTGATAAACAGCACATTGGACCCAAATAAGGTGACGCGGCACCATGGACAGAAAAAGGTATCTGTAGTAAAATGACAATTGCAGCCTCTGCAGAACAGATATGGACATGAGGCCAGATCCATTTAAAAGTAGACTTGATAAGCTTTCTATGAAATACTTGCACGCTCAAAATGGAGTCCGCATGAAGTCACGGTGATCGTCACAAGTTGGTGCTGTTCTGCAGTCCGAATCCAGCCCACGCGAATCCACTCTGCTTTTGATCCTCTCCATCATTCCTAAGTAAAACAAGAGTGCACGTGTCCCTAGGGTATAAATAGGATGAATATGAATGCACAAAAGAACACACCTGATAGTTGAGTTGACGTGCGCGAGCACGGATAATAGGACCATGAACTTGGACTTGTGTTAGCGTGGATGTATCGGCGGTATTGATGTCCTCATCACTTGATATAGTGTCACACCCTGAAGTTCTTTCCCCAAGCCTAAATTGAATTTATAAATCACCTTGAGACAATACCAGAGTCAAAGCAGGAGAAACCCTAATAAAGTAATGCAAATAATAATCGGAATTGGCATGTGGGATTTTTCTTGAGTTCTACATGTCGAAATATGCTAACAAGATTTTTAGTGAAATTTTCAGAGCTCTAGAAATAATTTTAACCAATTAAAATTGAGCACCAGCATTATTTAATCCCTGGAAATTATTTTCCTTTTTCCCCTCCTTTTCCCCAAATGGGCTGCCGGCCCATTTCCTCCCCCTCCTGCGCCCCTTCCCTTACCGGGCCAGCCCGTTTTCCCTTCTCCTCCCGAAGTCCAGGCCGCCTCCCCCTCTCTCCCTCAGGCACTGACAGGTGGGGCCCACCTGTCAGCCCCTTCCCCAACCTCCAGCCGCTCCCCGAGCCGGCGACCGCCGCACCGCGCGCGCGCCACCCACCTTCTCCGCCTTCCCCGTGCCCCACTCCCGCACGCCCCGTCTTCCCCGCGCCCATGCCCCCACTCCGCTCGCGCCCACGTCATGAGATGGCCGGGATTCAAATTCGAATCCCGCCTCTCTCTCTCTCTCTCTCTCCCCACCTCCAACTTCCCCTACTAACTCCGGGGAAATCGTGCCACTCCCGGCCGTTCCCGACCTCTCCGCCCCTATATAATTCATCCCAACATCCTCCTCCTCATTTTCCTTTTTTCCACCGGCCTCTTCCGAGCTCTCCACCGCTCCCGCACCGTGCCCCCATCCGCCGCCGTCTCTTCCATTGCTCCAGCCGCCTCTAGCCGCCGCTAGGGTCGCCGCCGCACCACACCGTCGCCGCCATCCGCCGTGCGCCGGTGAGCCTTTCCATAGCCGCCACCGTCAGCCACGGTTCCCGCTCGCCGTGGACTCCCTCTCCCCCTCTAACCCCTCTCTCTCTTAGGGTGTCTCGGTCCCCGGCCGTCCGCCGTTCACCGTCGTTCCCCGGCCGTCGCCGTCGCCGTTCGCCGTCGTCTTCCCCCGCGCCGGCCAACTCACGGTGAGGCGCCCCTCCTCCTCTTTTCCCCTCCCTCTCCCTCCTAGCGCTGAGCCGGGCCGAGCCGCCGCTTCGGCCGTGCGCCGCCGCCTTCGCGTCGCCGGTTGCCGTCACCGACGACGCGCGCGCCGCCGCCCTTGCCATGGCAGGCCGGCCGGCTTGATGCCGGGCCTGGCCGGCGCCTCACCACTCCCCTTGGGCCGATGCCGAGTGGGGCCTGTCTGTCAGTGCCCCCTCCTTTCCCCCTTGTGTCACCAACTAATGGGGCCCGCATGTCGGCGCCGCCCCCCTCCTTGATGATGTCAGCCCTGCGATATATTGCGCAATAAATAATTAAGGTTTTTCTCTTTACAGTAAAAACACAGTGAATCTTCTAAAATTCATATCTAATTCATCCGAGCTCTGTTTAAGCCCATTCAAGTCTCAGTAAATCAAGAAAAATGTTTAGAATCCATTAAAAATGGTTTTGTTCTCTGTTTTAGTAGTCTTATAGCCTGTTTGTATTGTTTTCTTTGTATGACGCTTAGATTCCGGCTCTCCCGACGCTCCGGTGTACTTTGAGATAGTCGTCGAGGTTCCTCCAGCAGCAGAGCAAGGCAAGTCATGCTTGTCACTTGAACATGTTGATCCTATATTGCAAATGGTCTATAGTTTTCCTTCAAGTACTGCATTGTTTTGCAATAATATTATGGGATGTTTACCTACTGTTACAGCCATGCTATTCTTGTACCATGCTCCTTTGATAGCTTGGGTTATAAACATGACTAGAGATTGGACTAGGGATTGCTTAGCCATGCTTAGTTCAACTAGCACATAATGGGGGAAATCATATTAATGTATAGACTGTAGGTTCTAATGGTAATGTTGGATTAGTGCCACCGCTTCGGTGTTGGTTAATTAAAATAAATCACATGGTGGGCTGTGGGTGCATGGTTTTGTTGATCGCGCCCATGGCATTTAAGGACCGGTTCGCGGGATACCCTGGAAGAACTTATCGTACTTACCACAAGCCAGCGTGGGCAATGGCTGGGCTTGTAGTGTAGCTTTCCTCTAGTTGACGCATCCAGACAAGGGTAGGCGTGATGGAGCGGGGCGGGCCCTACGACGGCCTCTGTCGCTTCCGGATTCACTTAGGCACGAGAGGGGACTGCCCGTTGCCCGCTGGGGACGGGGGTGAAACCTGAGGTGTGGTGTGCTTGGCTAGAGGGAGTTATGCGAAGGGTCCTGTCACGGCCTCTTTCCGGTATGTCGTGGTGGCATGTCGGCGCACGAAAACGTGTCGTGGGGCTGTGTCTTGTGGGTACAGTTGTACACCTCTGATCAGAGTAAAACTATTCAAATAGCCGTGCCCGCGGTTATGGGCGGTCAACCAGATTCACCGTGATTAGTCTCACCCTAGTGTAGTCTGATGGAACTGATTAGTTCAGGTGGTTGGTTGGGTCGGTGGGGGAGTTAAATAATCGCAGCCACACAAAACTAGTTGTTACTTTCATGTTCAAACACCAGAGACTTCTTTCCTCAGGACCAAAGTATCTGGTCACACTTGGATCACTCCAGGAAAGGAAGAACAAAATCTTCGGTTGGTTCATTTTGCCAGGCAGAGGAAAAGGTATGGAAATTTCTCGTCCAGTTTTTCGCCGCCTGCCAGTGAAAGTTTACTGGAGTATCCGGTTGCAACTAATGGAGTCTCTAATGATCCTTTTGCTCTAAACCCAATTTTTCCCTTGTGAGTGTGGTGTCAGGTGTCTCTCTCTAAGGATCAAAGAAATTGAGTGCTTGTGCACCAACTAGGGCCATTGATATGAACCCTTCTTGATATTGCGGCATTCCTATAAGGAAAAAGTATGAATTACCCCCCTAAACTATCTCGATCGATCAAATTACACCCCTAAACTCAAAATACCAGATATTTCACACCTTAAACTTTTAAAACCGGACGAATTACCCCCTTGACTCAATCTAGAGTGGTTTTCGTCCTATGTGGTGTACATGTGGCAGTCCAATCAGCATTTAAAAAAATAATCAGTGGGACCCACCTATCAGCTTCTCTCCTCCTCACCCCTCTCTTTCTCTCCCCCTCTCTCTTATAAATATTAAGGTTCATGTGGCAATTATAAGATTCCAATACAACATCGTAGAATCCATAGTCTCACTCTCTTTAGTGTCATACTTATTCAACACAACAATTACTCTCTTTAACTGATTCCACAACCTTTAAACAGACTGGCATTCCATAAAACAACTTTGAATCTCATATATCTTTGACAAACTGGAATACATGAATAAATTGATTGCTTGGTTCCACATCTTATCCTCTGTCTAATTATTATTGCACCTGCCAGAGCCATATTTTTTACTCATGAAAACACGAACCATTTAACTCTCTTGAACTATTATAGATCCTTTGCAATATAGACATTGACTGGCGTTTCATTCATTTGGGTAATAGTAACGTAGTTAACTCGTCCTTTCAGTTATAATCTGATCAAGTTGCAATAGAGAATATTGTTGTGACTGATATCTTGCATCAATTATTATTACACTTCAAACTTGCTCCAGTTCTCATGGCATTTACTGTCGACATCCAGGGTAGAATCATATGTGCAACCATCTACTGCGAATATTCATCTTACTTGATTGATTATTAATGCTAGAACTTCAACTATCGTCCTTTAGAGATTGTCTCACATTGAATAGACTGTCATGAACACATTTTCCATATATCTCTCTCTAGAACTGTTGATTCTTAACTACAATTAGCATAATCTCTACAAAAATTTCTTGATTCAAAACAATTAACTCATACCAATCCCCAACATGAAAGGGGTGCATTCCTCTTCATTAACAATCTTCTTACACAAACTAAAACATATACAAACTTGAACCTTTCTTGATGATACTTTTGCTGATCACATTTGACAGTATTATCTGGTTACTATTAACAGAAATAATGTCATGATTACTGCCATCAACAGGAAGCCGTCCGATGATCTGTTACAACTTTTGCCATCCTTCACAACCTGACTATTATTGAATTGAGCTGGCAGTCATTATCTCCTGATCCATTCCTTAAATCGAGAGGCAAATCTTTTATTTGATATACCTTCACCATAGTAATAGGAAAATGGGTCCACTTAATGCGTTTTACTTTTTCCATAACCATGCAAACTTCAACTTTCATTTATTTCACATTGAAGACGTGGGAATTGAATCTTCTTGCTATTTTTTTCTTCTAAATCAACATCTCTTTACATTCCTCATTGTTGAATGTCCTAGCCTTACTAACACTATTCTCTTGACTTAAAAATAGCACAAAAAGAATTGTCCTTTCAGACACCTTGATATGAATAACCACACTGTAGTGATAATAATCATCTTGATGACATAGATGTAAGCTTTTATCTTTCTTATTCCTTAATGACTCTTGCTCACATCAAACTTGGAACCTTAAAATGAGTGAGAGATCAAATGTGAACAATTCTCTTGAATTTTTTTTTCAATGGCGTCCCTTGAGCTTCTGACTTTTAACCTTCCTTGGATGACAAACTGTGTTGTCCATAATAGCATATGGATGAATTTTATTTGGAGATCCAGACACATTGTTCCTTAGCTGAAATAACCAGGTTGAGTATATTAACTGTTTACTTGTTTAAACCACTCGCACTGTTGAGCACAAAACTTCATTTCCTTGAATTCATTCTCTTAGGTAGGAGGTAAGAGAGAGATAGAAAGGGAAGAGAAAGTAGACAGGAGACTCAGAATAGAATAGATTTTTTTTACTAAACTTTAACTTTTATTGATGTGAGGTAGGTTGTTCTTTAACACTGAACTGAACACTGAAACTAGTATGGTTATATCACAACCCTCGATATACCCCATACGCTAAAACCCACACACACACAAACAAAACTTAAGCAAGCAAACTAACACAACGATCTAACTAAACATAAGACCACTACTCTTGAGGATAAAGCTTAGGTTTTGCCATAGGTGCTTTAAAACTTCTTCATTTTACATTTGAACTTGGGCTTCTCAAGTGACTCATCTTCACGGGAATCGTCCTTCCATGAGAGAAATAATAACTCCAGTGCAGGGACACTTGACAACATGAATAGGCTTCACCTCTTCATAATCATATTTCATCCGATGAAGGTTCTACATTCAACTTCCACGGTTCATTTTCTAATTCGAAGATCCTCTTCTGGCGAAGAACGAGCTTACGATTGGTGTCTTTGCGATACTGGGCAAAACAAGCTTCTGTATATTTCAACATCTTGGCGGTGTCACTATCTTCAGGTTGAGACATATCTTCCATTTGTTCAACCATCTTTTGTAGCTTGGCAATTTTCTCCTGTTGGGCATGCTTCTGATTTATGGCTTGAGTCTTGTAATTAGTGTGGAGGTCATCAATAGCATCCAACATTGTAGTCATATGCACAATCGTTTGGTTATCTTCTCCTTGGGTATGCGTACAACCGTTCAACCAAAAATCATCACCATGTTTCGGATGGTAGTAATATGTAAAATTCTCCAGACAATCCTTGAAATGACAACCGAGACGACACAAAGCTTCATATGCGACTCCTTCACGAGCATAAAAGAAACAATTGGCGAAACGACACCTTCACGAGCATACAAGAAACAATTAGCCTTGCCATTGAATGATAGCTGGGGAAGATCTTCCTTGTCGGAAACAAGAGTAACAGTTGTCTTGCAATGCAGTTGGTCTCCAACATGAGTAGATACTTTAGTGTACTTTGGTGGAACCTCATATCCAAGATCATACGTCATACGACAAAGCTCACTTGTAAAACCATAGTTCCCATATTTCTCAGCTTCCTTTAGAATAATGCCTTGCTTTCCAGAGCTTCTCTTCTCTCATTAATCTGATTAATCTTTTTGGGCAGATCACCCCATATTTCATCAAAGCGTGCCATCATATTTTCCAACCTCTCCTTGTAGGGATTCCTCTAAAACAAGTTGAAAGACGAGGAAGGGAGGATGAGAAAAGCTTTTGCAAAGAGCAATGGGATAAGGAGGAAAATAGACTTTCGCAAATAGATTTTTGTCTTAGCAAAGACATGTCCTTATAGGTTTAACCGTTTGGCTTGACCTACAGTCGAGATGGCTCTGATACCAACTTGTCACGCCAAGAAATTCACTAGTAATTTCCGAACTCATTTGTGCATAAAATCCTCGTCCAGGAATCAGCCGAGGTACACAAACTGACAATTTAATATACAGATTCATCAATAACTAAAGCGAATAAATACTTACATAAGAGGCACTTAGTCCTCACCATGAAGAAAACTGCAGCGGAAAAAATAAAATCTAGCGAGCTTCAGCTCCACTCCCACAGGCAGCTCAACTGGGGTATATGCCAAACGTCTTCTCCTTCTGAATCCTTTTTCTTCAACTGAGGTTTGATGATTATTGCAAGGTGAGCATATGACATACTCAGCAAGCCACACAGCAAATATGCAAGTGCACAAGGATACCAAAGAATGGCATAATATAGAGCTTATTTGCAAAAGCAGCATTTAGCAAACATTTGAGAATTGTAAAACAGTAGAGCAATTAATCATCAATATTAATCAACACTGTACAACATACCCATGCTGCACAGGCCCAACCATCCTGAACAACCATACCCGGCTGTACAGATCTATCTCCAAACCAGGAATGTACCATTCCAAACCAGGAGCTAATCAAATTATTACCAGTTATAGCATCTTTTATTATGGTGACAAGTGTGAGACTAATCACGAAAGACATTGTTAGACCCGCCCATAACCGCGGGCACGGCTATTCGAATAGTTTTACTCTGGCCAGAGGTGTACCACTGTACCCACAAGACACGATCCCGCACATGTTACCATGCCCCGAAGTACCACCACGGCACTGCAAAGGGGGAAATCGTGACAGTACCCTTCGCACAACACAATCCACCACAGCGCACCATTCCTGGATCATAATCACCCCCTTATAAACAAGACATGGACTCCCCAGCGACCCCCGTGGGCTTATCTCCGCCACTTCTCAGTCTGGTGCCCCGCAATGAACCATGCTATACAAAAGGTAAAGCCGTTGCCCATACTGGCTTGTGGTTGGCACGGTTAATGTTTCACAACTGAAACTCGTGAACCGGTCCTTAATTGTCATGAGCACGACCATCAAAACCATGTGCTCACAACCCACCTTTATCAAGTTTTATTTGGCAAATTAATTAATTAACCAATCACGATTGACCATCGTGAGCTTCCATTAAATATCCATAAGTGATAGTGAAGCATGATTTATTCTATTAATGAGCTAATGTTTCTAAGCACGGCTAAGCAACTATAAATAACATCTAGCTGAACCAATCCAATATATAAGGTCCATGCTAGTCAAATTATAACCCATAGGAAAATAAAGTCATCTTCGGCCATAATTAAATGAGAAAGGCTCACCACCCAATGACATTCGAGAACAATGCATAAGTTGAAATAAATCAATAGCTTTAAACAGGTTCAACATGCTCAAAGGGTTGTTTGGGGGATCTGTGTGACCTGCCTTACAAACAAGCGTCTTCAATTTGTCTTCAGGAACTTCTCCAACGAACGAACAATCCTCCGAAAGAACGGGAAGTCTAAACCTAAAACGCAAAACAAGGAAAAACACTAAAAAAACCAAATGAACAGTACAATTAAAGTTCATATGGGTAGAGCTTGAATTTAGATGAATTATGAGACTTGAACGACCTCATTCCGAGTTCGTATGAATTAGATATGAATTTTACAAGATTTAATTCTAATTAAACCTATTAAAGAAAAGACTATTCCAAATTGATTAAACAATTTACAAATGATTTATAGCTGAGACAGAAGATTAAAACATCCTCCGGAAAAAGATTATATCATATTTGGTAGATGACATATATTAAAAAGGAATAATATGTCATTAAAAAGAGATGGTAAATTTATATTAATTTTGGATGGCCAAGATGACGCTCATGTCAGCGATGACATGGCTGCCACGCAAGATCGACGCCCGCAAGCACGGGAACGGCAGTTACCAGCGAACCACGGTACAATGATGCAAACGGAGGGTACCGGGAGAGAGAGGAGATCAAGGCGACCCTTACCACCACATACGTGACGACAGACGGCGAGGGAGATGGCAGGCGACGAGCTCCAAAGGCAGCGACCTTGGGTTGACGATGGCGACGGCTTTCCGGCGACGAGAGGCAGCAACCGAGGGGCGGACGGTCTTCACCTCGCTCCTGCGATCCCGAGGGTGGCGACGGTGAACGAAGGCGGCGATGGACGGCGACGAACGGCGCGGCTGAAGATGGAACAAATCGGCTTCACGGTGACGACGGTGCTCCGATGGCTTGCGTCTTCGCGGAGGTGGCTGCCGGGCTTCTCCTCACTGCTGCGATGCCAACAGTGGATACGGCGAGGTCCGGCGACCACGGAGTCGACGATGGATGGTTGCTGGAGGCGTGGCAAAGACCGAAAGCGTCGGGTTCGCGTCGGCGAGCGGATTCCGGCGAGATTCGGCGCAAGGGAACGGGTGGCCGGGGTAGCTCTCACCCTTGCGAAGCCGAGGGAGGCGACGGCGCAGGTCGGGGTCGACCGAGGAGGCGGCGCGACGTGGCTGGAGCGGTGGCCGGCTTAGGAGAGAGAAGCTAGCGTGGGGAGAGGCGGCTAGGGCACGGCGGCTCAGGAAAAAGAGGGGAAACGGAAGAGGAGGCCGAGGGGCTGCTATTTATAGCCGGAAGAGGGAGAGATCGGCTCGGGAACGGATGGAATCGGCGACAGATTAGGTAGGGTTCGATCCGCGAAATTGGAAAGAATTTCCATATAAACTTTTCGGTATTTCTTGGGGGAAAGGAAGAGGAGATTGAGAGGATTCCATTCCCACAATTAATTTGGAAAGAGGAGCAACGGAGAGGACGAATTTGGTGGGGAGGCGGCGCTGTACACGGGCACGGCAGGGAGGAGATCAGCCGGCTGGAGGTTAGGGGCGACACTGTAGCAGAGGGAGGCAAAACAGACTTCTTGCCGGGCTTCATTTCCTCGGCCCGATTGAAGGAGGGAAGCAAATAGAACTTCGGCAGAGAGAGGAAGAGAGGATGCAGGCTCGGGTTGGGCCGGCGGAAGAGAGAGGAAGGAAGGGAATGGGCCGGATTTGGCCCGAGACAAAGAAGAGGATTTTGATTGACTTTTTAATTTAAATAATTGCTGAAATGATGTTTCATTTATTAAAAATACTTATAATGCTCAAATAATTCCGGGAAAAATACAGAAAATATTTGGACACTAAAATATTTAATAAAGTTTTTATCTATATCAATTTAATGTTCAAAATTTTCATATATTTTATTCAAACACTTACTTTAATTATTAAATAAATTCTAAAAATTCCTTTTTTTACAACAATTTATAATTTAGCTATTTTCAGGGTGTGACACTCTCTAATCTCTCTAGTGCCGTGGGCGCCGAGAACGGTGGTGGACGGTGGTGTCGTGGGGAGGGCATAGGCGACGGGCGATGGGCGTCTTGCCGAGGAGGATGCTGAAGGCGGGTGGCAGCGCTTGCAGGGAGGGCACGGCGGCCAGTGGGCCGTGCTGAGGAGGACTATGGAGGCAGCAAGCGGCGAAGAGGAGGACGGTGGAGGCAGTGGATATGAACGGGTAATTCGTCCTTCGTACTTTTTCCTTCCTATAACTCAAATAGCAAAATTAAATTTATTCGGGCACTATTGCTGCATGGTTTTGTTTATTGGGATATCCTTGTGTCATTCAAGCATTATAGGGGCTAATTCCTGTACTTCTGCATGTTAGTCCCCTACTTTTCCTCATCATCTAGCCACCAAAACTCTCTAGGGGTCTAGATGCCTTATCAAAGGGAAGTTCAAAGAGGAGTAAGTGATGTTGGTTCATCTTCTAATCTTTTCCTTAGAGATGCGGCCATGCTAGGAGTAGTCATTTTGGTCTTCTTTGCATGCATACTCTTCTCATTCCATTATTTTATTTAGTTTCATTTACGTATGCTATGTTTGCAACTAAGTCAAGCGGTAATTATTTGAGTTGGTGTAGTTCTTGGGCACAGTTATATCTAGGAAGATGTCCAAAGGAAATGAAGAATGTAGTCATTTGGGTGGTGATAGCCCCATCCTTCAAAGTCAGTGTTAACGACCAAATTTGGCAATGCCATGGGCCGGATTCAAAGCTGGGGTCAAAGCTGATTTGGAGAGATTTCGTTCGAGAAGGCAGAGTACGCATCGGCTACAAACAACATCGGCTGTCGCATGAATCGGCTACAGGCAGTATCGGCTGCCGCATATCGGCTAGCACCAAATCTGACGGAGTCAAGCCGATGCTACCAGACTCGAAAAAGGCGGTCCCACATTTGTCAATAGGATTAGTCAAAGCACTTCATAGTCATTGCCATGCGAGGATTGGAGTCCTAAAGAAGGACAATTGTATTTATTAATTAGGACATTTTCTGTTTCCTTAGAGATATGTTTGATAAGAGTCCACCTAAAGGACTTTTTCGTACTTTAAATTGTGTTAGAGATAAGAGTCATGTCCAGCAAGGACATATTATGTACTTCGGGTATAAATATGACCCAATACCTTGTAATCAAGTGACGACAGTTCAACAATACTTCGGCGCATCGCCACCCTTTTCTATTTTCGTTGTTTCGACGAGTTTTTCTTTCGAGTTGGGCTGCATCGGGTTTCGATCTCCGACGAAGAGGTAAAGCTTGTTATGGCGATTTGCGTTCTCAGGATTAGTTCTTACATCTTTATGACACTCTAATCATGTCCATATAAATCGTCGAGTTATCATATATACCGCATAATCTAGATTGGTCTCATCATCTAAACTTCATCGGCAAGCCTCTATCATTGAAAATAGCCGATAGGTTTAGGCTTCGATACCAAGCAAGACTATGCGGTGTATCTACCATCTTGAATGAGTTTTCATCGATTTGCTTAGATCTTATGTTTCTTATCACGCTTAATGCTGCATCGGTTAGGTTCGATCTGTTAAGTATTGTTTTGAAACGTGTTATCTAGCTCTTTCTTTGATTACTAATAAAGATAGCATCGGGGTTTCAGCCGATCTTACCTGATTTAGCCATCTTTGATTCCCTACTTGGTTTTGGATTGTCTAAATCTTCCCTTTATATCAAGATCTCATCTATTTAAAATATATTAAGCTTCCTATCAGTCTGCTAGTTCACCCTGCTTGTTAGATTGATCTCAGTTTTGTATATTTCATCTGTGCTGATATCTTGGTATAAGGTGGTATCGGAGTACTAGCCGATGCACGTTAGATTGCCCTATCGGATATGCTGTGAGCATACATAATCCCTATTTTGGGGCACATTTAGATATTGAGTGATTTATACTATCTCGGTGCGATGACCGATCTATCCCAATCACTCGATCTAAGCGTGTTCCATCGGATGGATTGCGTATCGTTAACATCTACAGCCGATCGAGTAGACCTAACAATCTCCAAGTTTTATCTACCTTTGCCGATCTGATGCAAGTTACTTCGGAATGGCTTCGGACGATACGTCATCGGCAATCTAGCCGATCGGCTATCGTTGATGGATTTAACTCTTTGTCTTTTTTCTATCTGGTTAGTTGTAGGATCAAACCAGCTGGCACGCTCATAACCCCAAGGCAATTTCTTTGGACCGGCACTAGAATTAAGCAGATCTCTCAGTTCCGTGCGTGTTTTTCGCGTCAACAATCAGCCACGTTAACCCTAGTGCGATGGTTTGTATTGGAATGTTGGTGTTCATCTTCTTGCAGTGAATTAATCGTATGCCCGTAGCAAACAAGTATTAGGATGTAATCGTTCAGAAGAAGTCACATTAAACCTTGACTGGAGGACCCTCTCAACCTGGTTCTACCTCTTACATCCTTTCCAAAAATTTCAACATGAACAATCGATTAGGAATAAGTACACTTTAGGTTCCGGATATCCTAGAATATTCTCGGGTCAAACGTACAACAATATCCATATGCTCATGGATCAATTTCTGTTGAACATAAGAACAAATAACAAGAAGTTTATTTGTTTTACGGTCATAAAGCGTCACCTGTTGATATACTAATTATCATTATTCCCTAAACTGCTTTATCTTCAATTATCACAAAACCCACTTAGGGGCCTATAAACTGACACAAGTTTGTACTAACCTCAAAGCATGCCTAATTTCTAATGTCCATGTGACACAGAACAAGATAAAACAGAAAAAGGGACAATTTGTGCCAATTTTCTTAAATTGATTATATCATGGAAAATTTCTAAACAAAAGGAATTCAAAAAATTTAACTTTATCACTAAGCTCAACCTAATTGATCTTCGAGGAAAAACAAAAAAAGAAGACGAAACAAATGAAAACGGGTAAAAGAATTAAACATTAAATTTAGTTAGTCAAATTAAAGTTATTTTTATTTCAATTTATTCATTAAAATATAATTAGTCAAATAAAGATCAAATTAATTTTTATTAGGAAAACACTTAAATTCCAAAAGGTCATCGCGTGAAATTTATTCAGATAAATCAGACAATAGGTTATGATCTAGCAAGTTAATGTTTGCTAGCTACTGCTAGCTCATCCACACGGTGAAGCTCCCAGAGATGGACACGATTAAAAGCAAAAAGATATGCTAGCTAGTACCATATCAATCCGAATTAATTCACACTATTTTTGGGGATATGTGGATAATTTCTTGCCATAATCCAGTGAGTGTTGCGATCTTATCTTCCAGTATAAGACCACCACGCTTCCTTCTTCTGATCTTGCATCCATCTAACCCTTTCCAATCAGTTTTTAGGTTCATTATTGATAAATTCTAGAGAATCGTGCTGGCCATAGCTCGTCAGAAGGTGAACCTACAGCGGCTCGCCAACTACACAATTCGTCGGGCGATGTTCAAGAAGCGGCAAAAGAGCCTAATGAAGAAGGCAAGCGAGCTCTCGACGCTATATGGCGTGGATGCATGCGTTGTGATGTATGCTGAAGGCGAGGCGCAACCTATGATGGTGTGGCCATCGGTACCAGAGGCAAGGCGTGTGATCGAGCGCTTCAGGGCCTTGCCGCAGAAGGACCAATACGAGAACACGACTAACCTGGAGGGCTTCCTCAAGCAGCGCATCGCCAATCTCCAAGAGAAGGTGGATAAGGCAAAGCATGAGAACGATGAGCTCGAGACAAAGCTCCTCCTCCTCAACAGCCTTGACTGCTGCCTCCCTAGCCTTGTGGGCCTCACGGTCAAGCAGATTACTAGCCTCAACTCGATGGTAGAGGAACGCCTCAAGAAGCTCCGTGGGAATGGTCTCCTGGCGACACCAGTCCCAACCAGTAATCAAGATGTGGCAAGTGCAACAAATATTCAAGATTGAGTCCTGCACTGCATCGGTGGTGGCGATTGTGCGTGTGTGACTATTGATTGTTTTTGTTGCGATTAGTTGTATGCACAAGTGTTTTGGGGAGTTTGAGTTTTTAGGGGCGTGGGATGGCACGTGTCTAGCTAGTCATATTTTAGAATCTATGGGACGTGGGATGGCACGGACCTAGTCATAAGTCTGAGTCAAAAGAACATGGGATGGCATGTTCCACCTTTATTGCTATTTTTTTCTGAAAATCGGTTAATTTTGTCTGAGTCAAAGGAACATGGGATAGCATGTTCCACCTTTATTGCTTTTTTTTTTCTGAAAATCAGTTAATTTTCATAGCAATTCCAACTAAAGCAACTGAGAGGAAAACTGCCACAGGTTTTCGCTCACGTGTTCTTTCTTATTTTGGATCATAAAATGAAAATAATGTTATTGAACTTGGCACCTGCATTTGGTATTAGTCTGGATGCGCCCAAATTTCTGTGGTTTAAGCCAATGCCCATCATTCCTCGGGTTATAGCTATGGAAGGTGACACAGTGCAGATCAAGTAACCATAGGCTACAACCAATGTCCTCCAATTGCACTACTTACACGTCCAAGGTGAAAACGATCTCGTAGGATATTGAACCTTGATCAAATAAGGACGAGACGTTGTGAGCTCATCTTTTTCATGCACTCTTGAAGGGTATCCTTTTTGCAGGCTCGAAGAAGAAAATTATATGGGATGTCCGGTACAACCTCAAAGCGAGGTATGTCACGGATGATTCTGCCAAGAATGGTAGGTTAATTTGCAGATCCTCAAGAGCAACTTAGACACAATGTGGATGAAAGATAGGAGAATATATGAGTATGTTAAAGGGCAAATAAGAATGTCAGTGAAATAAACAAACCAAGGGGCAATGCTGGACATTGTGGCATTGGTCAAGAAGTTGCTTAACCTCATGTTGGACAAGTGTTAACATTCAACTAAGTCGTCATTGGCGTAGAGCAGCTTTGTGATGCCTATAAGGATTATTAGCATGGGGCAATTTCGTTCTTGCCCCTAATTTGATGTCCAATATTGATTTTGCCCCTGTCTTTTAGGGTTTTTGTTTTTGCCCCTATTCTGTTAATTCTTGCTAACTGTAACGCCCCGATTTTCGTTCGGGATTAAAAATCAATTAATAATACATTTTCTAGAATTAAAAAAAGTTAAATCAATTTAATCAAGTGAATTATTGAGGGAATTAAAAATTTCCTTTAAAAATCATGGCCGAGTGTATTTAATAATATTCTGTGCCCTAATATACTCTCTGGATTTTTTCGTGAATTTTAGGAGCTCAAGAAGTAAATTTAAAGTCACAAAGTTCATTTAATCAATTATATTAAATAGAAAACCAATTAAAACTCCTTCTAATCTCCTTAGGCCATTTTCGGCCCAAGCCCTCCTTCTCTCCCCGTGGCCTGCGCGCCCCCCTCCTCCTCTCGGGCCTCTCTCTCTCTCTTCCTCGGCCCGCCCCCTTGCAAAGTCTGCTCGGCGTCCCTCCACCGGCCTCCCCTCTCTCCCATGGCCGATAGGTGGGACCCGTGGCCCCACCTGTCAGGGCCATCCCCTACCTCTAGCCGGTTGCCATGGTCGAGCCGTGCCCCCACTCCTCCACCGATTACGCGCCACCCCGCCACCCATCTCCACCCCCTGCGCCCGAACCCATCGTGCGACCGCGTCACCCTCCTCCTCTCTCCTCCCCCACTCCCTCCGCGGGAATCGGCGCCGAACCGCCGCCACCACCCCCACGTCGCCGCCCTCACTCCGGCCGGAAAATCCACCACTCTCGGCCGTGATCCCTCTCCCCCGCTCCCAAAAAAAGGTACCCCGTGTGCTCTCCTCTCCTTTTTTTTCCCTGTTTTCCTGAGTTCCCCACACCCTCTCCCGAGCTTCCCACGCCGATCCCCATCGCCGCTGCTCTCTGGTGAGCTCCGGCCACCATTTCCCATAGCTAGGGCCGCCGTCGCGCCAATCCACCGCCATCCCCAGCTTCGCCGCCCCGCAGGCAAGCTCGGCCACCACACTGCTCCTCCATTCCATCCCCCTAGCCGCCCTCTCCACTATGAACCCAAGCCGCCACCAACTCTACCGCCTCCGGCCGCTGTTGGGCGCCACTCCTGACCACCCCTCGCTGCGCCACGCCACCAATAGCTTCGTCGTCTCGCACCGCACCTTAGCCATTGCTCCCCCAGACCCAATCACCACCGAAACCCTCCCCTCCCCATCAACGTGAAGCTCTTCTCCTCACTGCCGGCTTTCAGCCGCTTTTGCTCGTCGCCTCGCTCCTCCTCTCCCTCTCCTAACCTTTTCGTCGCCTTCCCTAGGTTGCGGTGTACCCCGGCAACCTCCTCCCAACGCCAGAGCTCGCCGGAATTCCGACATCGCCGTTGCCTCCCCTAGGTGCCGTTGTCGTCTTCCCGTCGCCTTCTCACCGTTGCATGAGCTCGGTGAGCACTCCCCTCCCTCTCTCATTCTCCCCTTCACCGACCAACTCGAGGCCTGTTCGCGACGCGCCACCGCCGCCGATGGCTGTCCGGCCAGGCCGCTGCCGCTGTGCGCCACCGCCGGTAGGTTGCCTCCCCTTGATCTCAGCCGCGGCCGGTCTGGGCCGTTGGATCGGCCCCGGCCCCCTATCTGGGTTGTCCATGCGCCCGAGGCCACGTCCTCTTTGCCCGCTAACGTGTGGGGCCCATGTGTCGGCGCCGGCCGCCCCTTGCAGACGTCAGCAACTATCTTTTCCTTTGAGAAAATAAATAATAATTGCGCAATAATTCGATAATAATTCTAGAAATTAATTTAAATGGCTCAAAACTTCTAAAATTCATATCTAATTAAAACGAACTCCAAATTGGACCATTCAACTTGAAAAAATTATCTAAAATTGAGATCTACATGATTGTTTACTTTTTGTGTACTGTTTTCTTGGTTTTTATTCAGGTTTTTCCTCGTTTTGCGTGCCAACGTGTAGAATCTGTCGTTTCGGAAGTGAGCAGTTGCGAGGAAAAGAGTTTGGAAGATTGTTTGAAGAAGCAAGGCAAGTCACACATTCCCCCTTGAGCAGGTTGATCCCAATTTATAAATGTTTTACCATTTGCAAATAAATATGCATGTTTTGCTAATTAAATTGGATCCGGGTATTACCTATCTACTCGCTTGTGCCATGTTTACTTGATATCCGTTCTTTGTTAACTTGGGCGATAATTCGACTAGCTCATGTTACTTATGTGACCTAGCTAGAACTATATGCTTAGCCATGCTTAATTACCACTAGCTCAGTCAATGGGATATTTACAGTATTAGACATTTTAGTATCAGAACGAGTTATGTGCTCGAGACATCGACCATGTTTTATTGGCCATAATTACCAAACTAAAATGTGACATAATGGTGGGCTGTGAGTGGATGGTTTTGCTAATCACACCCATGGCAATTAAGGACCGGTTCGCGGGATGCACTGGAAGACTTATCGCGCTTACCACAAGCGGGAATGGGTAACTGCTTGATCTATAGTATAGCTTTCGTCTAGTTGACGTTCCTAGGCTAGGGTGAGCGTGATGGAGTTGGGTCGACCGGGGTCTTCAGTTGATCGGCTTTTGGATTCACCGTGGCATGAGGGGGGCCTGCCCGTTGCTTGCTGGGGGCGAGGGCGAAACCTGAGGTGTGGTGCGATTGGTCAGAGGGGGTTATATGAAGGGTCTTGTCACAATCACTCGACATGGTGACATGTTCACCATGGGCGGATGATGACGCGGTGACATGCCGGTGAATTGTGTCTTGTGGGTACAGTTGTGTACCTCTGGCCAGAGTAAAACTATTCGAATAGGCGTGCCAGCAGTTATGGGCGATCGACTAGATTCACCGTGATTAGTCTCACTCTTAATAAATCGACTGAATGCACTGTAGTTCAGGTGGGATGGTTGGGCCTGTTCAACGTGGTGTAGCGTTGATCAGTGGAGATTTAATGTTACCTTAATTAACCAATTGTTTTAACTGTTTGCTCAATAAAATCCTTTACAACTGCCTTTATGCAAATAGCCACAAACCATCCTTGAATCCCCTTGCACATCTGCATCATTGGTGTGGCTTGCTGAGTATGGTGGTTGTACTCAGCCTTACTTTTATTCCCCCTTTTTCAGAAGTGTAGTGCTTCTGAGCTGAAGACGAAATTAGAGGACCAAGGCTCAGACCCCAGTTGAGTTTTTCTTGTGGAGTGGAGCTGAAGCCCCGCTAGGATTGCCTTTTTCCACTGCTGCTACTTTCGTTCCCATGTGAGGACTAAGTGCCTCTTCTTTAAGTATTTTACGCTTTATTTACGTTTGTAACTATATATTACTTGTCGTTTTGTGTACCCTGGCTGATTCCTGGACAGGGATTTAATATAAAAAATAGTCTGGAAATTTGGGCTAAATTTCTGGGCGTGACACTAACGATGTTAAATGTGGGGGTAAAAAGGACAAGTATACCCTTAGATATTTTCTAGTACTTGGCACGCGTGTCCTGTAAAGTCTGTAAAATCAAGGTATTGATTTAATCTTAGTGATAAACAATTGTAAAAGGTAAGTATTTGTAAAAATACGGTAAATAGTATTTTGTGAGAGGGAACAGGCTTTTCGTGTTTGGACAAGGCAAATCAGATCGGGTAGGTCATGACGGTCAACAATGACGATAAGGACGTACACCGAAAAACTAAGAGATTTATGTTATGTGTTCAATGTTCAAAGTGGGCACAAAAGCCCGAATTTTTGCTGAAAGTTTCTCTTGTTTTTTTAAAAAGAAATTTGAGAATGAATGTTAAAGCAATTTATCTATGTGTAGGGGTTTTTATTTCAACCTATGTACTAGTGAATATGTTGCATTATAAATTGTTCAAATACATAAATCTTTATTGCTGACGATCTTAATTGTAATATATTTGACTCATGTTTATACTCTAATGCATACTTATAGCTAGATGATGAATTTTTCTCTCTTGTCTTGCAACACATGACCTTGAAATTGCTATAAGTACACTTCAAAGCTCTCAAGTAGAAAAAAAATAGAAATAAAAATCTTTTTACTACAAGTGATCATTGTGGAACCATAGCATCTCTACTTTATTGGATATCAATTCTCTCGTTTGCATCCTTGATGAAATCATCATTATCAATGGGGTATAAATATAAAAAAATGTATGCTACTTTAAAAGGGGTGCTTCGATTTTTAAAATCATTGATTTTGTTTTGATAGCAAATATTGTGGAGAGAAAATATTTCTTTTAAAGGCCGGGGGTAGTTTTTCTTTTCACTTTCTTTTTGCCATTTCTGCTTGTTGACACTTCTTTGTTTTTATTTTAAAAAATTTCCAATTTATATTTTGGAGATGTTGCCAATATGTTCATCGAAGGATAGATTGTAAAACCAAGGTTTTGATTTGATCTTGGTGATAAACAATTGTCAAAGCTAAGTGTTTACAAATACGGTGAATAGTGTTTTCTAACGGTGAACAGGGTTTTCGTCTCTAGACGAGGCGAATCAGACTAGGAAGGTGATGCCGCTCAGACCAGAGGTGTTTGGGTGGTCTGACCGGGCTGCCCGACGGTCAAACCGGGCAAACTCTAGGTCAGAGTAAGTTTTGGGTTGTTTTATTAGATTTTCTATATTGTTTCATGTTTATGACTTCTAAATGGTTTCTATATGTATGTGATACTATTGTGTACTGATGTGGGTCAAGTTGGTGTAAACTTATACTTATCCTAATAGGATTGTCTTTATTATGGGTATATATACCGAGAGAGAGGTAAAGAGATTTGAATGTATCCACGTATGAGACAACAATAAAGTTGTGATAACTCTCCCTATATCCGTGTCCATTGTTCATCTATTGTGTGCTTGTGTATGAGAGATCGTCATCGTCTACTCTGGATCAGCAATAGACCACTAGTTATTTAATATGTTATCTGCACGAGTTCGCTCATTGCGCTGATTCAGGTAAGCGTTTCTACTTGATCAATCTTGTTCATTTGTTAATCAGATTGATCTATTGTTTTGCATGTACATCGTCAACCAATCCTCCGCCTGCGCTGCGCGAGGCACTGTGACCAGGCGTCCACACGTCTCCCATGCCTGCGAGGCTGCGACCGCTGTGCGCTCATGCATGGAGATGCTGCGCTCGGGTCGCTTGCTCGCAAACTACGTGTGCAAGCCACAAACCGTGGAGGCCGACCACCCCGCAAAATCTCCTAACACTGATCTACGTTCTGTGGCCTAACTCAAAATATTATGCAAAAACTCAAAAATTATGCGGAAGACTTTTGGGACATTAGAAACTACGGGAACCTTATACATTCGCCATTTATATTTCCAACCCTCGAGCAATGGGTTTTACACCAAACAAAAAAGAAATAAGGTTGTATAAGTTAGTTCCGTGTTTCTAAGTAACTAGAAGGTACCCCGCGTGTTGCGGCGGGACGTTGTGCATACAACGAAAAGAGAACGTTTGGTCCATCACAAATAGAAATAGTGCATATGAAAAACATTACTATTATGAAAACATTTCATCATCACATTTTACACATTTCATTAGTCGAATAGATCAAAGTATTTTCCAACAGACCATAATCTTATTATTAGACCGATCATAGAAAAATGAGTTGGTTGAATGTCAAAGTATTTTTTTCCAATAAAGCACAATCTTATTTGATCAGCTATAGAAAAATGAATTCTATTGACTACAAATGTTGAAAATAAGTAAAATACTAACCTTCTAATGTGATCATGAAAGTTGAGTAGTATGTGCTGTGTAGTGTAACGGCCACTGTTCACTGTGCTCTGCTTCAAACTAAGGGCCCCTTTGAATCACAAGAATGAAAAAACGGAGGAATAGGAAAAATATAGGATTCTGACAGGAATGTAAGTGTAAAACAGAGGATTGCAAAACACAAGAAAATCGTTGGAATGACCGTTTGTTTGGACCACAGGAAAAACACAGGAATTTGAGGAGAGATAAAGACTCAAAGGATTTTTTTTCCATGAGATTCTACCTCTTGTTAAAATTCTTCCAAAACTTGTATGGAAAGAGGCATTTCATAGAAATTTCATAGGATTCCATAGGGTTCATTCCTTTGATTCAAAGGGCTTTGTAGGAAAAATTTCTATAGGAATAAAATCCTCTAAAATTCCTATAAATTTCCTTTGAATCAAAGGGGGCCTAAATACGGATCAGTTGCACAATTCTTTCAAGAGTGGTAATATATTATTTGATTGAAATAAATAATATTGTGGTAAGAAATAAGCTAATTTAAGGGGTACAGCCTGGAATTTCTAGAAATCAATGTCACTGAAGAAAAAAATGAATCTCTTCTGAATCATACCATAGCTGAAATATGATTTAAGATAGAAATTAGTGACCAAAATTTACATTCTAATTAGGTGAGAGCATGCAGCATAAGATCCATCAGCAAAAAAGTATATGATCTTCATCTAAAGGGAGGGGGAACCTGATATTAAATCTTGGCTGGCAGACTAGACAAACACCTAGGGCATTTCTTTTTTGCAGTACATGGGAAAAAATGAGTACAGCCAATGAACTCATCCAAAAGACACATGTTTTAATTTGGTGAACCAATAAACTCAATAGGGGAGAATGAGGGAAAAGAAGAATGTACCTGATCCAATTGGGAACAGAAAAAATGGTGCAGGCCAGGATGATAGGAAATTAATTGGCTGGTGTGTGCAATGCAACACCGTCGCTAGAGGATGAATTGGCTGAGGCCGTTTGCGTCCAATAATCCCTAATCAAGATGGAGATTGGCTAATCCAGCTACTTTTTTTTATCAAAAGAACAAATTGGCTAGCGTGCTGGAACAATTAATTAGTTACATAGCAAGGGGGGAATCCGGTATTCATGAGCTACCAGAGTTACATATGGAAACCACCAGATCTGATAATCACCCAGCACAATGGATACCAGTTATATAGACTCATGATACCTGAGATGGGCATAGCACTGAGATTTGAAGGCGTCATCACGGTAGCCATCAAGGAGCAGTTGAGGCATCTATGCCGTTTTCCTGATTTTGCGCGCACGAAGGCTAGGGTCACGAAGAGGGAGCAGATCGGCCGAGCGAGGAACCGTTGTGGAGGTAGGGGAATTGGGCGGGGCAGGGGAGGGGAAGGTGGGGAGGCGTGGAGAGGGAGCGCGATGCAGGAGGAGGAGAGGATGCGGCGCAGCGAGCACAATGCGGTGAGGGCCGCGGAGCGCGATGCAGGAGGAGGAGAAAGATGCGGCGCGGTGAGCGCGCTGTGGTGGGGCGGCATAGCGTGATGCAAGAGAGGGAGCCGATGTGGTGCGACCGTGAGGGTGGATAAGTCGAACCGTGCAACAGTTGACGTGGAAGCACCAGAAAGCAGAGGATTCCTAATTAATTATAGGGATCACTTGTATAATATGAATACCGGATCCTAATTAATCCGTGTCTTTTGGAGATCGGCTTCTAGAGTTTGAACCATTTAGACTGGAGGGGTAGGTGCTGTCGCCGGCCGCTTCCCCAGTCCATATATGGCACAGGAAAAAAAAAACATGCAAATTGAAGTGTCGTAGGAACCATAAGACAATATACAATATTCAGAACAGGGAGAAGAACTGGAGGCTGCAGCCTGCAGGGTCATCGTCGAAGCCGTAATCGATGAAGTGCTACGATTCGTTGGTGGCGGCCACCAGGAATTGGAAGACGGGTACCGTCGCAGATGGCGTCCGGACGCGCCGCGGGATCGATCCAGCCGCTGGTGCTGCTGCTCGGCTGCAGCGACCGCCTGGAACAGGAACGGAAAGACCATCGCCGATGAATTCATCTGGGGCCAAGCCACGCGATCCTTTCGAATTTCGATCCTTAGGAAGTCCACATGGCATTCATATGGGGCGGGGCTGCAGGTAAGGCCGGTTACATACTTACATCCGGTCTCCACCAAATTTTTTTTCGGTCGCCGACTCCTTTTTAGCATACAACAGTTCATCCCTTCCCTTCCTTTGGTCAACAGGTCTCGTCTCAGTCCTCTTTTTAAATGTGGCATATCATCTGAGTAAAGTTTAATAGTAGAGCTCACTACTTATTATAAGTCAATGTTAAAGCTAACTTGTATAATATGTTAATTATAAGGTTAACTTTATTTTTTTTCTAGAGTAAAATGCACCAGCGGTCCTTAAACTTGTCAGGAGGTTTCACTTAGGTCCACAAACTTACAAAGCGCACATCGAGGTCCCTAAACTTGGTTTATTGTATCATTCCGGTCCAAAGCCGCGTTTGACCGTAATCTTGCCTACGTGGCATGCCGTGGACAATGACATGATTTTTTTTATTTTTTTCTCCCTTCTTCCTTCTTTTTTCTCTTTTATGAAAAGACGATGACATGGACGATGACGTGTACGAGGCATTTTCGTCTTTTCGACAAGGAAGAAAGAGAAAAAAAGAAGGAAGAAGGGAGAAATTTTTTTAAAAAATCCATGTCATCATCCACGTGGCGTGCCACGTAGGTAAGACCATGGTCAAACGCGGTTTTGGACCGGGATGATACAATAAACCAAGTTTAGGGACCTTGATGTGCGCTTTGCAAGTTCGTGGACCTAAGTGAAACCTCCTGACAAGTTTAAGGACCGCCGGTGCATTTTACTCTTTTTTCTATTCTCTCTTTCTTACTCTATGAATTTAATGCATATTTCTTGTAGCTTGGGTGGAACTGGCTCTTGCATGAGAGCCAACACTATCCACTTTACTTTAACTCTCTCTTCCACATAAGCATATTGCTTGTTTATAGCCTGTTATTATCCTTACTCTAAGAGCAAGGCTAATAATACAACCGACTTGTTAGTTATAAGGTTCTTTGCAGTTTTCTCTTAGCCCACACATATAATAGTCAGCTATTTACAATTAATACATGATTCACTTGTCTCTCTCACAGAATTTTTTAGTTCTTTTAGTTCTTGTGTCCAAGTCTACAGTTAGTCGACTTACAACATACTATTATACTTGCTCTAAGCTCCTAGCAGACATCAATGCGGCACCCAATCAGCCAAGAGGCAGAGCCAGCGGCATCTCTGATTGAAGAGTATGTGCACTTAGTAGATTTTATTTCTCAATTTGTAAATAATCATAGAAGATGCATGATAGATCCTATCCTTCTATTTTCCCTTGTAATGGCAGGCGTAAGATTTTAACCGTTAGATATGATGATGATGATAATTGTGACGTACTGATGTGCTGTATTGAAAATAATATTTTGGACAATATTTGATCACGATATCATCCAGGATGATTTTACATAAATAAATACCTGGAATTTTTTAATCACAAATTAGATATTTTTTATTTGAGGTATATTTGTTGTTGAAGTAGGGGATTAATGGTTTATAATGCATATCTAATAAGAGCATCCTAAAATTTAACTACTAAAAATCTTGGATTGGGACCATTCCAAAATAAATTGGGCCCAAAAATCACCTCCTACTCCAAGAGTGCCCCTAAATTTTGTTTCCAATAACTTTAAAATATGCCACATCATCTCAAGTAGGTCTTACTTCGACCGTTTGTGTCTTTCTATTTTTCTGGTAAGAGGGAGATCGGCGCTAGGCTCTGCCAACCAATCACGAACTAGCGCTCAGCTATGATGTGCAGCAGGGCGATCTTGCGCATGCCTAGTAGCTGTCGCGGCGGACAGTGAGGGCATCAGCAAGTTTGCGAGGCACGTCCAGGGGGGCAGGTAGGGCACGACCAGGGCTCGTCCATCTCGTGGCAAGGCACGATAGAGTATCACATGAGGTTCCTTGGTAGTCCCGACGGCGCCATGGACAGAAGGCGAGGTCTCGCTTTGGAAGGAGGGGCAGCAACGCCTTGGACGGAAGGGACGCCGCGCACTGGCTGGAGCGGAGGCGAGCTTGTCGATGCCTTTCTGAGTGCTTGCCCCACGACGAAGGGTCGCCAACACCAAGAGCATTCCGCAGGACGAAACGGCTCACGATTGTCACGAGAGGGGAAGAAAAGGCGCGAGCGGCCAAAACTTCCAACGATTTCATCAATTGGGAATTGCGTGGAGTATGTGGATAAATATTGGAACCATCTTTAGCCATCTCTTGGAGACATAGCTTTAAACTAGATTCGTAAAATTTTTCTTTTGGAACTGGTATTAGGAGCTCTTGGAGATGCTCGAACTAGAAGGAAATATCTAGCCTAAAGGTTGTTAGATTTAATTGGGTAATTAATCCATTTAAATCAATTAAATCAAATAAATTCCAAGGCTCATTATGCTAGGAATTCATGTGAATTCATTCTTCTATGGGATATCAATGGGATGAAGAGTTTTGAGAATTAATCCATTTGATTAAGGAATTGCATGTTGGTACAATTCTTGAGTCCAGAGATGCTACATTCTTTGAGAATGAATTTCCTATGAAATATACACCTAGCACTTCTAGTAAAGAAACTGTCATGCCCCATGAGCACTTTGCACCGATAGAACACAATGATCAAACGCCTGAGGAAAATCCTGAGGAGGACAACATTGTAGATACTCGCAAGAGTAAGAGACAAAGGGTTGCAAAATCCTTTGGAGATGACTACATTGTATACCTCGTGGATGACACCCCAAGAACCATAGAAGAGGCATATTCATCTCCTGACGCTGACTACTGGAAGGAAGCAGTACGCAGTGAAATGGACTCGATTATGTCTAATGGTACTTGGGAAGTCGTTGAGCGTCCATATGGGTGCAAGCCCGTAGGATGCAAATGGGTTTTCAAGAAAAAGCTTAGGCCTGATGGTACAATCGAAAAGTACAAGGCAAGGCTTGTGGCCAAGGGTTATACCCAAAAGGAAGGCGAGGACTTCTTCGACACATACTCACCAGTTGCTCGCTTGACCACGATTCGAGTACTACTTGCTCTGGCAGCCTCTCATGGTCTTCTCGTCCATCTGATCAGATGGACGTTAAGACAGCTTTCCTAAACGGAGAGCTGGAGGAGGAGATCTATATGGATCAACCAGACGGGTATGTACTAGAAGGTCAGGAGGGAATGGTGTGTAAACTATTGAAATCCTTGTATGGCCTCAAGCAAGCACCTAAGCAATGGCATGAGAAGTTTGATACCACGCTTACATCTGCAGGCTTTGTTGTGAACGAAGCTGACAAATGTGTATACTATCGCTATGGTGGGGGAGAAGGGGTGATCTTGTGCTTATATGTCGATGACATACTGATCTTTGGGACCAGCCTTAATGTGATTGAGGAGGTCAAAGACTATCTGTCCAAGAGTTTTGAAATGAAAGATTTGGGAGAGGCTGATGTTATTCTTAACATCAAACTACAAAGAGGAGATGAGGGTGGGATTACACTTGTGCAATCCCACTATGTGGACAAGGTTTTGAGTCGCTTTGGATATAGTGACTGCAAGCCAGCTCCTACTCCTTATGATCCCAGCGTGCTATTAAGGAAAAACCGAAGAATAGCAAGGGATCAGCTGAGATACTCTCAAATCATTGGTTCATTGATGTACTTGGCTAGCGCAACGAGGCCTGACATCTCATTTGCTGTAAGCAAGCTGAGCCGGTTTGTCTCAAATCCGGGAGATGATCATTGGCAGGCTCTGGAAAGAGTAATGCGCTATCTAAAGGGTACTATGAGCTATGGAATTCACTATACCGGGTATCCAAAAGTATTAGAAGGGTATAGTGACTCAAACTGGATATCTGATGCTGATGAGATAAAAGCCACAAGTGGATATGTGTTCACACTTGGAGGTGGCGCTGTTTCCTGGAAGTCTTGCAAGCAGACCATCTTAACGAGGTCAACAATGGAAGCAGAACTTACAGCACTAGATACTGCGACAGTTGAGGCCGAGTGGCTTCGTGAACTCCTGATGGATTTGCCGGTGGTTGAAAAACCAGTGCCAGCTATCCTAATGAACTGCGATAATTAAACAGTGATTATTAAAGTGAACAGTTCAAAGGACAACATGAAGTCATCTAGACACATCAAGAGAAGACTGAAATCTGTTAGAAAGCAGAAAAACTCCGGAGTGATAGCATTGGACTATGTCCAAACAGCTAGAAATCTGGCAGATCAGTTTACCAAGGGGCTACCACGTAATGTGATAGACAGTGCATCGAGGGAAATGTGCTTGATACCCACCTAAGGTTGCATAATAGTGGAAACCTGTCCATTATGATCGGAGATCCCGTGAATTTGGATGGTGAAACAAACTATTGTGTGACTGAGAGAAGAGACCCTTGAAAAGGGCTCATTTTCATGATGTGCTTCTCTTCTTTCCTGCATGGT